AGCTGCTTAAATGCCATCCTTCGAATCTCCGTCATGCCAATAGATTCCAATGTGTGCATTTTTTCAGCGATTGGTTCCTCACAAACCATGGGCTTCTCCTCGGAGTTTCTACAGATAAGCACAACATCAGGCAGGGGACTGTCGCCCCATGACTTTAACAATTATATATATATACGTAGATATACCAGTATAGTTTAACGTAGTTGTTCATCGAAGGAAGTTTTGAAGTCAAGCTTCCGACAATATGGACAGATGAAAAGCAGAGATGGGAAGAGTCAGAGAGAAGAGAAGAGTAGAAGAGAGAAGATCAGAGAAGAGAAAGAGTCAGAAGAAAGAAGATGCAGGTGCGCGAAAAGGTAGGAAAGTCGCGAAGCACTGTGTTTTTCCAATGATGTGTGGCTCCGGAGGGTCGAAGAGTAGGCTCGCTAAAGCGGCGGGTGCGGAGCCATCTGGCCAGATGAGAGATGAAAAATTGCACGCCGTTGTGGCGCGAAGCACATTTTCAAGTCAAAATGTACAAGACACCACATGTTCGGAGCACTTTTGGAAGTTGCGCCGTTGAAAACGCGCACGTCGTTGTGGCGCGAAGCACATTTCCAAGTCAAAATTTACAAAGCACTACATGTTCGGACCACATTTGGAAGTTGAGATGTTGGAAAAGCGCACGCCGTTGTGGCGCGAAGCACATTTCGAAGTCAAACTATTAAAAACACCAGGGGTTCGGACCACTTTTGGACGTTCAGATGTCGTTTCGCGTGGCAAGCGCAAGGGATTGTGGACCTTGTCAAAAGTGAGCAAAACGTGAGGGTTTTGTAGCATTTCCAAAAACGATGGCAGGCGCGGGACATTTGAAGAGGATCTGCAAAGATGAATTTTCCGTGGCAGGCGCAGTACAAGAGACATCTTCATCAGAGCTGTCAGGAGGTCCGGGCGCTGATTTCGTGAGAGGGGTTACATTTTGGAGCCTCAGATCTTCAGGTTTGCTGAGATGATTTTGCGTGACAGGTGCATCACTTTTTCGTGGCAGGTGCAGTACTTTAGACAGGTGGACTGGAAGAATGGCAAAATGCATTGGTACGAGGCCGTCAGCTCTGCACTCAACTTTCCATTTTTGAAGGATGTCTCGCGGAATTCTTTCGTTTTTGATGTTGTCAACTTCGAAAAATGAGGAAGTCTCGCAGAATTGCTTCGTTTTTGATGTTGTCAACTTTAAAAAATGAAGAAGTCTCGCAGAATTGCTTCGTTTTTGACGTTGTCAAGTTCAAACATTGAGGAAGTCTCGCAGAATTGCTTCGTTTTTGATGTTGTCAACTTTGAAAAATGAAGAAGTCTCGCAGAATAGCTTGGTTTTCAAGCTTGCAGATAGACAGGTAGATAGATAGATAGATAGGTAGATAGATAGATAGATAGGCAGATAGATAGATACATAGTTAGATAGACAGATGAGATAGATAGATAGCTAGCTAGATAGATAGATAGAGAGATAGACAGACAGACAGACAGACGGACGGACGGACAGACAGAGAGAGAGAGAGAGAGATAGATGGATACATAGATAGATAGGTGGGTAGGTAGGTAGATAGTCAGAGAAAGAGAAGGGACATCAATCATCACCTTTCGATCCATCAGTGTCTTCGCTCTGCCATCTGTGATTCACAACCAACCGACGCCAGGCCGAGTGGTTGGAATCTCCGCAGCAGATGCGGCTTTTGCCAAAGGAGGCCTGGCAGCGTTTGGCGCTGCCCGTGGGTCTTGAGGCCGAGCTGCAGAGGCGCTTGGACTGCACTGTGAAGGCCTGGAAAGGACGACGACTTACTGGTGACCTACGTTTCTGCTTCAGTTGGTGTGTGCCATTGATATCATAGATTCTGGAAAGTTAGGTGGAATTCAACCATAGATTTTGGCCGTGAAGTGAAATAGTCCGAAGTATACCATGTAAAGGTTTTACTTAAAATATGGTCAACATAGAAAGATCTAATTTTGCAAGCAAGACTGTCTTAACATTTAAACAATGGTAAACATTGCCTGCAACATCGAACATTTGGCAAGCCACGACTGCCGGTAGTCATACCTGATGTGTTTCCGGGTGGATCCAATCGCAGTCCAGCTATGCAGGCACATTGAAGAACTTACTTGTCATGGTACTGATGGTACTTGACTAGTAAGTAATGATCAAGTAAACTATTCATCAAGTAGACTAGATCTTATTTCAAAAATGTCCGTATGATGTTTATATCACACTATAGTAACTGCAGAAAAGATTTAAAAGTCATTTATATTTTTATTTTAGATCAGATTCAGCTGTTACTTTTCTATCATGTTGGAGACGACAACCAAATCCCAATGATATCCCCATGATAGACGAAGAATCTCTGCGTTCTCGGACGACGTGACGACAACCATTGGACCCAGCAGGATCAAAAGCTGAAGCAGCTTGACCTTTCCGCAAAAAAACGACGCCAAAGCCCAGCTGTGCGCAAGACATCAGTGACCCAGCTGCCCTAGATGCGTACCAAAAAAAGAGATACACATGTGTATATATATATATACATACACACATCGCTGATAATGATATCATATGATGTTTGTAATTTCTATCTTGTGTAATTGTATTAGTGTATTACCATATTGTATATGAATATATTATACAGATATATTATTATTTTTTTGTTATGTTTCCGGCTTGCGGCCTGATGCCGGATGATCAGTCTGGCTCAAGACTGCATGCATATGATTCATATGATGCATGCAGCGGCACCAGTAAGCCTCAGCGGCCAAAGAAGACACATCATGAAAGAAAACGTGTATCAAACACTACATGTTGTATTCATGATATAAACATGCATGATATAAACATGCATAATATCTGATGGAGAAACATGGAAAATATACATCTCAGGAACAAGAACATATCATTGTTGATACTGGGACTCCCAGAGGTTTGCAAGGTATTTCCATCGGTTTCCATCGGTTTCCATCGGTTTCCATTGGGATTCTGGCCATCGCTCAGTGTCACGGATGCTTACCTCCAGTGATTCCGATGGAAGATGAACTTGAAAAATCTGAGGAAAACCCACCAGACTTCTTCGAGTTGTAGTTGTCAATTTGTTTGCTGCTTTCACACATGTTACTCACATGTTATTCAGATGTTATTCACATGTTATTCAGATGCACATGTTATTCACATGTTATTCAGATGTTATTCACATGTTATTCAGATGCACATGTTATTCAGATGTTATTCACATGTTATTCAGATGTTATTCACATGTTATTCACATGTTATTCAGATGTTATTCAGATGTTATTCACATGTTATTCAGATGCACATGTTATTCACATGTTATTCACATGTTATTCACATGTTATTCAGATGTTATTCACATGTTATTCAGATGCACATGTTATTCACATGTTATTCAGATGTTTTTCAAATGTGTTCAGATGCACATGTTATTCACATGTTATTCACATGTTGTTCTGATGTTATTATCATGTCATTCACATGAAAGTCAGACTAAATTCCATGTTATTGGCATGTTATTGGCATGTTATTCACATGTTATTCACATGTTATTCACATGTTATTCTCATGTTATTCTCATGTCATTCAGATGCACATGTTATTCACATGTTATTCACATGTTATTCACATGTTATTCACATGTTATTCACATGTTGTTCTGATGTTATTATCATGTCATTCACATGAAAGTCAGACTAAATTCCATGTTATTGGCATGTTATTCACATGTTATTCACATGTTATTCACATGTTATTCACATGTTATTCACATGTTATTCTCATGTTATTCTCATGTTATTCAGATGCACATGTTATTCACATGCTATTCACATGTCATTCTGATGTTGTTAACATGTCATTCACATGTTATTCAGATGTTATTCAGATGTTATTCACATGATTCAGATGTTATTCAGATTATTCACATGTTATTCGTGTTATTCACATGTTATTCAGATGCACATGTTATTCACAGTTATTCAGATGTTATTCACATTGTGTATTCAAGAATGCACAGTAATTCAGAATGTTATTCACATGTGTTCAGATGCAAGGTTATTCACCTGTTATTTCAGATGTTAATGTTATCACCGTTTATCAAGAAATGTTATTCAGATGTTATTCAGATGTTATTTTCACCATGTTGTCGATTGCACATGTTATTTCACATGTTATCGATGTTATTCACCTGTTATTCAGATGCAAATGTTATTCACATGTTTATTCAGGAATTGCACATGATGCACATGTTATTCACATGTTATTCACATGTTATTCACATGTTATTCACATGTTATTCACATGTTGTTCTGATGTTATTATCATGTCATTCACATGAAAGTCAGACTAAATTCCATGTTATTGGCATGTTATTGGCATGTTATTCACATGTTATTCACATGTTATTCACATGTTATTCACATGTTATTCACATGTTATTCTCATGTTATTCTCATGTTATTCAGATGCACATGTTATTCACATGTTATTCACATGTTATTCACATGTTGTTCTGATGTTATTATCATGTCATTCACATGAAAGTCAGACTAAATTCCATGTTATTGGCATGTTATTCACATGTTATTCACATGTTATTCACATGTTATTCACATGTTATTCACATGTTATTCTCATGTTATTCTCATGTTATTCAGATGCACATGTTATTCACATGCTATTCACATGTCATTCTGATGTTGTTAACATGTCATTCAGATGTTATTCAGATGTTATTCACATGTTATTCAGATGCACATGTTATTCACATGTCATTCACATGTTATTCGCATGTTATTCTCATGTTATTCTCATGTTATTCAGATGCACATGTTATTCACATGCTATTCACATTTCATTCTGATGTTGTTAACATGTTATTCAGGTGTTATTCAGATGTTATTCACATGTTGTTCAGATGCACATGTTATTCACATGTTATTCAGATGTTATTCACATGTTATTCAGATGCACATGTTATTCACATGTTATTCAGATGTTATTCACATGTTATTCAGATGCACATGTTATTCACATGTCATTCACATGTTATTCGCATGTTATTCTCATGTTATTCTCATGTTATTCTCATGTTATTCAGATGCACATGTTATTCACATGCTATTCACATGTCATTCTGATGTTGTTAACATGTCATTCACATGTTATTCAGATGTTATTCAGATGTTATTCACATGTTGTTCAGATGCACATGTTATTCACATGCTATTCAGATGTTATTCACATGTTATTCAGATGCACATGTTATTCACATGTTATTCACATGTTATTCAGATGCACATGTTATTCACATGTCATTCACATGTTATTCGCATGTTATTCTCATGTTATTCTCATGTTATTCAGATGCACATGTTATTCACATGCTATTCACATGTCATTCTGATGTTGTTAACATGTCATTCACATGTTATTCAGATGTTATTCAGATGTTATTCACATGTTATTCAGATGCACATGTTATTCAGATGTTATTCAGATGTTATTCACATGTTATTCAGATGCACATGTTATTCACATGTTATTCAGATGTTATTCACATGTTATTCAGATGCACATGTTATTCAGATGTTATTCACATGTTATTCAGATGCACATGTTATTCACATGTTATTCAGATGTTATTCACATGTTATTCAGATGCACATGTTATTCACATGTTATTCAGATGTTATTCACATGTTATTCAGATGCACATGTTATTCACATGTCATTCACATGCTATTCGCATGTTATTCAGATGCCCAAGGTCTTTTTCAATGTCATTTACATGCTATTCGCATTGTTATTTCTCAGGTTATTCTATGTTATCAGAGGCACATGTATTCAACATGCTATTTCACATGTCATTCTGTGTGTTAACATGTATTCAAGGTTATTCACATGTTATTCAGATGTTATTCACATGTTATTCAGATGCACATGTTATTCACATGTTATTCAGATGTTATTCACATGTTATTCAGATGCACATGTTATTCACATGTCATTCACATGCTATTCGCATGTTATTCTCATGTTATTCTCATGTTATTCAGATGCACATGTTATTCACATGCTATTCACATGTCATTCTGATGTTGTTAACATGTCATTCACATGTTATTCAGATGTTATTCACATGTTATTCAGATGCACATGTTATTCACATGTTATTCAGATGTTATTCACATGTTATTCAGATTCACATGTCATTCACATGTTATTCGCATGTTATTCGCATGTTATTCTCATGTTATTCTCATGTTATTCACATGTCATTCACATGTTATTCGCATGTTATTCACATGTCATTCACATGTTATTCGCATGTTATTCACATGTCATTCACATGTTATTCGCATGTTATTCACATGTCATTCACATGTTATTCGCATGTTATTCACATGTCATTCACATGTTATTCGCATGTTATTCACATGTCATTCACATGTTATTCGCATGTTATTCAGATGTTATTCACATGTTATTCGCATGTTATTCACATGTCATTCACATGTTATTTGCATGTTATTCTCATGTTATTCTCATGTTATTCGCATGTTATTCACATGTCATTCGCATGTTATTCGCATGTTATTCACATGTCATTCACATGTTATTCGCATGTTATTCACATGTCATTCACATGTTATTCGCATGTTATTCACATGTCATTCACATGTTATTCGCATGTTATTCACATGTCATTCACATGTTATTCGCATGTTATTCACATGCTATTCAGATACACATCCCATTCACATGTTATTCACATGTTATTCACATGTTATTCGCATGTTATTCGCATGTTATTCACATGTCATTCACATGTTATTCACATGCTATTCAGATACACATCCCATTCACATGTTATTTACGTGTCATTCACATGTTATTCGCATGTTATTCACATGTCATTCACATGTTATTCACATGTCATTCACATGTTATTCGCATGTTATTCACATGTCATTCACATGTTATTCAGATACACATCCCATTCACATGTTATTCACATGTTATTCACATGTTATTCGCATGTTATTCACATGTCATTCACATGTTATTCGCATGTTATTCACATGTCATTCACATGTTATTCGCATGTTATTCACATGTCATTCACATGTTATTCGCATGTTATTCACATGTCATTCACATGTTATTCGCATGTTATTCACATGTCATTCACATGTCATTCACATGTTATTCGCATGTTATTCACATGTCATTCACATGTTATTCGCATGTTAATCACATGTTATTCACATGTTATTCGCATGTTAATCACATGTTATTCACATGTCATTCACATGTTATTCGCATGTTATTCACATGTCATTCACATGTCATTCACATGTTATTCGCATGTTATTCACATGTCATTCACATGTTATTCGCATGTTATTCACATGTCATTCACATGTTAATCACATGTCATTCACATGTTATTCGCATGTTATTCACATGTCATTCACATTGGCCATTCCACCTGTATCACTTTGTTCATTCACATGCCATCGCATGTTTTCAGTCATCTCACATGTTATTCACATGTTATTCACATGTTATTCGCATGTTATTCACATGTCATTCACATGTTATTCGCATGTTATTCACATGTCATTCACATGTTATTCGCATGTTATTCACATGTCATTCACATGTTATTCGCATGTTATTCACATGTCATTCACATGTTATTCGCATGTTGTTCGCATGTTATTCACATGTCATTCACATGTTATTCACATGTCATTCACATGTTATTCGCATGTTATTCGCATGTTATTCACATGTCATTCACATGTTATTCACATGCTATTCAGATACACATCCCATTCACATGTTATTTACGTGTCATTCACATGTTATTCACATGTTATTCACATGTCATTCACATGTTATTCGCATGTTATTCACATGTCATTCACATGTTATTCGCATGTTATTCACATGTCATTCACATGTTATTCGCATGTTATTCACATGCTATTCAGATACACATCCCATTCACATGTTATTCACATGTCATTCACATGTTATTCGCATGTTATTCACATGTCATTCACATGTTATTCGCATGTTATTCACATGTCATTCACATGTTATTCGCATGTTATTCACATGTCATTCACATGTTATTCGCATGTTATTCACATGCTATTCAGATACACATCCCATTCACATGTTATTCACATGTCATTCACATGTTATTCGCATGTTATTCACATGTCATTCACATGTTATTCGCATGTTATTCACATGCTATTCAGATACACATCCCATTCACATGTTATTCACATGTTATTCACATGTTATTCGCATGTTATTCGCATGTTATTCACATGTCATTCACATGTTATTCACATGCTATTCAGATACACATCCCATTCACATGTTATTTACGTGTCATTCACATGTTATTCGCATGTTATTCACATGTCATTCACATGTTATTCACATGTCATTCACATGTTATTCGCATGTTATTCACATGTCATTCACATGTTATTCAGATACACATCCCATTCACATGTTATTCACATGTTATTCACATGTTATTCGCATGTTATTCACATGTCATTCACATGTTATTCGCATGTTATTCACATGTCATTCACATGTTATTCGCATGTTATTCACATGCTATTCAGATACACATCCCATTCACATGTTATTCGCATGTTATTCACATGTTATTCGCATGTTATTCGCATGTTATTCGCATGTTATTCACATGTCATTCACATGTTATTCGCATGTTATTCACATGCTATTCAGATACACATCCCATTCACATGTTATTCACATGTTATTCACATGTTATTCGCATGTTATTCACATGTCATTCACATGTTATTCGCATGTTATTCACATGTCATTCACATGTTATTCACATGTTATTCGCATGTTATTCGCATGTTATTCGCATGTTATTCGCATGTTATTCACATGTCATTCACATGTTATTCGCATGTTATTCACATGTCATTCACATGTTATTCGCATGTTAATCACATGTTATTCACATGTTATTCACATGTTATTCGCATGTTATTCACATGTCATTCACATGTTATTCGCATGTTATTCACATGTCATTCACATGTTATTCACATGTTATTCACATGTTATTCACATGTGTTTTTTCCAACCTGAGATGATGGCACCTGACGCTTGGCAAGGCAGGGCCTCGGCCTGCAGCGACGCCAGCGCCTGCGACGTCCGTCAGCTCCTTGCGCCAGGTGCTTCGCAGCCACTGCGGCGATGCCTGGGCAGCGCAACTTCTGTCGCAGCTGCGTCGCCAGGAACGATGTGGCGATGGAGTGGATGCCAACGCATTGCAATCTGCCCTAAGGTGTGGATGAAGGTGATGCTGGAAATATAGGGAGAAATCATGGAAGGGAAGTAGAATATTCAATGAATATTTTATAGAATATGTAGAGGAAGTCCTTCATGAACCAATGAACCAATGCCAAACAGTTGTTCCAACTGGCTTTGAACGTATTCCCATGTCGCCAGATAGGCTGGCCTGGCCGTTTTCAACTTCCCCCGCGATGATTATCCCCAGTCTTTGGAAAAATGATGGATTTTGATGGTTTGAAATCGTTTGAAAGTGTCTTTTTTCGGATCCCCATCCCAAATCATCCCATTGATCCGCTTCTCAACACGGTGGCCAGGTCACTTGCTGTTCCCAGCTACAGCCAAGCTGCAGTCAGCAACGCCGTACGCCAGGCAGGCCGAGACACACGCGGCTTGCCCAGCGCTGAAGATGTGGTTGCGGCCATCCATGGAAATCTCTCTGGTGCAAGGCGAAAAAAATGAGGGAAGGAACAGATTTTGGAGAACTTCGATGGGCCACAGGATTAGCGATTCCTGGTATTAACTGGTATTTAACTGGCTAATAGGGTTATAATCCCCGCAAAATCCCAATGAAATAATCCATGTACTAACTAGTTGACTAACTCCATGGCCAACATAAGTATGGGAGAACTATGGACATGTATTGAGGCATGTCTTGAGGCATGTGTGATTTGCCATTCTATGTTAACATTTGGTAATTTAACATAGCTATTGAAAATGGCCCAGTCGAAATAGTCGATTTACCCATTAAAAATGGTGGATCTTTCCATAGTTATGTAAACGTTTACCAGAGGGTAACATTTGAATGAACATTCGGACATTCGGACGAGCCTGGAGTTGGTTGACTTGCTGGGATGTTCATCAGGGGCCAACGGTTTGGTGCATCTAGGGCTTGGCGTCTGCAAGACGCTGATTTCAGTCCGCCACAAAGATTGGATTGTTCCGCACTGTTTCCGAGAAGGCTATCTATTCTATGTGTATCATTTATATCTATATGGTGACTGCATGCTTGGTAGTTTTGAATAAATTCTTTCTGTACTCAAAAATTTGGGGACGTTTTTTTTCCACTTTCGCATGTTTTTGGAACGGACTTATTTATTGGATAGCCACAATATATATCCGTGGCTTGAAACTGATCTTGTTTTAGGGGATGCGACTTGACAAAGGGATTTTTGGCAGACCGCCTCAACAGATCTGTTGATCCATCATCTCTGTTGATTGGTCGCCATATCCGAAGCCTGTTCTCCCGAAGCCTGGAATCATGGCTTTTCAGAAATCATCCCAGATGGTCAACATTTCAGGCTATAGTGAATTATTATGAATTCAGAAATCATTTGCCCAAGTTATGTGCCCAGATATATTACATAGAATTCCCCCAAGTTATTAAGGGATTGGTAAATGTCCCATTTTTGGGATATTGGACACCACCCTTTAATGGCCGTTATAGATGATACACCTCATAGTTGGGTGATGTTCAATTGTGAGGTTTAATGACCCATGGGTCCCTTGGGTCCCTTCGCCAGGGCGCGCATGGTGGATGAGGTCGCGTGGGTTATCATGGTCATCATGGGGCCATGGGGCCATGGGGTATCGGCAACGAACGCCAGCGGCAACGCCAGGTGTTTTTCGATTTGGGTGGCGACATTCATGGAACTCTGCCCCGGCAGATGCTAAAGAGGCAGCCTATGGCAGGGTTGCCAGATTTCGGTTGCCACATGGCTTGCCACAATGGGTTTCATGATCATCTAAATCATCTATCACCACCCACAAAGATTTCACTTCAGAGTCTTGATCATTTTGTTTCTATCGACGTTAAACACATCTTACACATGCATACTATGAAGCAAGGCGTAATTTGTTTGCTGTCAAAAAATGGCACTTGCGGAGGTATGAACGCAGTGTCTAGCAGAATCAGACTCTAAAAGTGCTTCAGAGAATGTGAAAGGCCAATTTAGCTGTTTTTCTGATGGAATTTATGCATGAGTGGATTGAATGGCCGTTTGAGATTTTTGTACCTGCTCAGTGCTAGCCTTAAAAGACTCGAGACGCACGGGACTCGGTCGCCCAATATTTTGATCTATCCAGTGCTAGGGCTATCTATATTTCCTAATTACCCTCTGGTTATTTAACATAGCCATGGTATAGATGGCCCATAGAAATAGATGAGTTTCCCAGCTATAAACCTCCATTTATGGTTGGGATTTTCCATGGCGAACTGTTAGTCATAACCAGATGGTAATTGATTTTTGTCAGAGCCAGTTGGAGCTACAATCAGAGTTCCAACCACATCATAGCAATTTTCCGGGCTACACCATTCACCAGTCATACCTCCGTAACTTGGTCGATCTATGAGCAGTAAGGCCTGAATCGATACTTCCAACCACGTCAAAAAATCCAGAACTCAAGCAATGCTCCCAAAAATGTGGAGAAGGTAATTCAGGGACCCCGTATTTTGATTCATAGCGGCTTAGCGTTTCAGAAAGCTTGGCTTTTTGGGGAAAACCATCGAACAATAGTGGTTGCATATTCTGAAACATGTGCTACTTAGCTACAGTACATCACCACCTGACAGGCGAATGGCTACCCTGGAACTTCCGGCCGTGAAGGTGCCTCCGGGTGGCAGTTCCGTATACCGAACTCTCCGCCAGTTTTTTTCCATTCAGCACAGGACATGTCAAGAACCTAAATTGGAGGTATCTACCATATATAAGGCCTATATAAGGCCTATGTAAGGGAATATCCCAGCAAATATGGCCTTATATGGTACAGTACCTCCATTTTAGGATCCTGAAATTCCCATTGACAGCATGTTACTGATGTGGAAGGTGCTTCAAGATTGAGCAGCAATAGACAGCCCTGGACTGGAAGCCAAACTTAGAGATGAGAGGGGGTGCATGTGACGTTTAAAGATGAACCTGATGTTGGAAGGTGAATGCACATTAGTCAAGGTACCTCCGTTCAGCAGAGCTGGGAGGATTTACCATGACGGATATGTCGGATATGCCATGAATCTGACAGAATACCATGTCAGCATGAGGCCCACCTTGTGCATTTGCAATCTTTCAATACACGACCTTAAGCAAAGGAAAACCAGTCTATAGTCCAGGTGGCAGAAAGCTGTGTCTACGGTACAGCATGAAACGTGTCCTTAGGTTGTATTGGCATTTGCCATGCTTCCTTTCAGATGCAGAATTTAGGCAATGCCTTCATCACTGTCTCCTGCCACCCACTCCAAATTCATCAAATTCATACTGTACCTTAGAAGATCCATTCCTTTTACACCTCTACAAGAATCAGCATGTTGTAAATTGCATGCCATGTCCAGATATGTCCAGATTCCAGCTCATATCCTTGTGAAAATTCAACGTTTCGTCGTTCCCCGCAAGTTTTTTGGTCGCTTTTGCCAAGAATCATAGAATTGGATGATGGGAAATTTCTAGCCCGAGAGCCCTATATTTGATGGTAAAAACCATGGTTTCCGGTGAAAATTTTCCCAACAAAACCAATCCATTGATTAAACATATTTGGGGGGTTCCAAAGTCATGGGGGTGTACCCCTAGTTATCATCAATATTTGAATGGTATTTTCCATGAAATAAACCATCCATTTCAAAGAAAATAGTCGCGCAACAGCACGAAAATGGCAGTTCACCCGAAAAAATCAAGGGCACCAAAGCTGGGAGCCTTGACACCTTTGAACCTGAGACCCACCAAATAAGATCACCCTTCTTATGCCATGGTTGTTCCCATGAGACATGGATATATTCCACTGGATACCACTGATACCACGATTGAAACTGGATTGTTCCACGGCGATTTCTGCGGTTGCCGTGCAAACTGTTTGTTGAAACCACCAGGCAGGCTTTTCCGCCGAGGAGGTCGATGTGTTTCCTCTGGGATGGGGGAAAGAATGTGAAAATCCATGGCCCCAGATGTCATAGTTTTTTGTATTTCAGCCATATAATGTTATTATTAATGTATGGTTATATGGTTATATCATATGATACATATGTTATCAAATCATGTCAAATCAGGCTTGAGTCGGTTGAGTACCCAACCGAAGTTTAGGACATTGACAATTATCAATGGGAGATCTTCAGGATCCAACAGATGGAGGTACTGTACCATACAAGGGCATATTTTCTAGGGATATCCCCTGAAAAATAGGCCTTACATATGGTAGGTACCTCCAATTTAGGATCCTGAAATGGCCATTGACAAAAAAAATGTCTTCCACCAAATTGACCCATGTTTTATCCGAGTCGCCAAGCTCTCCGAACATGATGGCGTTTCGCTGCGTTTCGCTGTGTTTTTTTTGTGTTTGCCAATGTCTGAAGCTCGGTGAACTCCGAAATCCAAAATACTTAGCCCGTTTTCTTCGAATCATTTTCCCTAGTAACTCGTGGGCATCAAACGGGGATTAAACCCCGTTTTTTTTACAACACGCGCCTATCAAACTTCAACAACCAAAAGGGTGCATGAGAAGTTGCGCACATCACAGGACTTCGAAGCTGCACATATCTGCACATGAGCTCATCGAAGCTTAGACCAACCTCTTATATCAGAATATATCATCTTATATCATGTTATATCATCTGTTATATCATATGTTCTATCATCTGTTATATCAATATCATCTGCTACTTCATATGTTTTGTTATATATCTTATATCATGTTATATCAGATGCATATGTTATATCATTTCTTATATCATATTCAGAGGCTTGACATTCATAAACATCTCATCTAACCATCTTCATCTCCGGGCCGTTTTTTTCGGCCGTAGATCCAGGCCTTACGGAGCTTCACACGCCATTGGGGCTTTCAGGATGTGGGACGGGTAGGGATAAAGAAAATAGATGGGGAAAGCTGGAAATAGGAGGTAAATGTCTATGTAAATATACTATCTTGAAAACACTGTTCGATCTTTTTTGGGGCTACTATAGGTGATGATGCAAAATGCGGGGAACTTCTCAGTCAGATGGGAGTTTATCATTGTGACAGGCGTATCAATTGGTTACCGCCAGAAGTTGTTTTGAAGATCGTCGATGTGCTTCCAAGATACAACAAGGATGTTGAGCGAGATATTAAGTGATATTGAAATTTGTATGATTTGCATGAAGTGTACCAGAATTATGATGCAGTTTCAACAAATGATAGTGTCTTTTATGAGGCTCTGCGGATCTAAGTTGCCTTTGCGCCAGGAAGTGGATCGTCAGAGTTTCTCGGAAGCGCACGTCCTCCTATCAGCGTTGCACCGGGGCGTCCGGGCCTCGGAAAAGCGGAAAAGGGGGATCCATGGTGAGGATGGGGATATGGTGCACATAATGATGGCTGCAATATATTGCAATATATGATTATGTTGTAATATAATGTAATATATATATATACATATATATATATATATTATGGACAAATCTGTGAACTGCGCGATCAGTAGCGGCTCAGAAGGAAAACAAGGGCCGCTGACCCAGCTGGCATGCCACCAAAAATATATTATTGTGATTTAATTATTGTGATATATTGTGATATGCTGTAAAATGTAGCACATGATATCACTTACATGTTTTGTGAATGATCAGATTCAAGAAATGTTTTTTTGTTGGGGACAACCTCGGCTCAATTTGTTGCGCAAAGGAAGATGATGCATTCAATCATCTTCTCCGACGTCTGTGGCGCTTGCCCAAAACCACGGGTGAGGAGCTGGCAGAGCCTGATAGCCTGCCATTGTCGAGGGACATTTCTTTTGTTCATTGTATAATGACAATGTTCATTAAAGGTCATAACTGCTACCATCTAGTTATTGTTCATATTTTAACAGTTCGCCATGGAAAGATTCACCATGGGATGTTCGAATCCTCGAATCCTCGAAAAGTCCATGGAGTCCATGGAGTCCATGGAGTCCAAGAGAGTAGACACGTCCATCTCATGTGGTTATTAATGGTTATTAATGGTTAATGATGATTAATGATGGTTAATGATGATTAATGATGGTTAATGATGATTAATGATGGTTAATGATGATTAATGATGGTTAATGATGATTAATGATGGTTAATGATGATTAATGATGGTTAATGATGATTAATGATGGTTAATGATGATTAATGATGGTTAATGATGATTAATGATGGTCAATGATGATTAATGATGGTCAATGATGATTAATGATGGTCAATGATGATTAATGATGGTTAATGATGATTAATGATGGTTAATGATGATTAATGATGGTTAATGATGATTAATGATGGTTAATGATGATTAATGATGGTTAATGATGATTAATGATAGGTAACTATATATTCAATATATACTAATCTCAACTGGTTGGTGGTGACTGGAACATGATTTTTTTTATTTTCCCCAATAGTTGGGATGATGATCCAATCTGACGAACTCATATTTTTCAGGGGGGTAGGGCTCAACCAGCAAGTAGTCAAGCTCGGAGTGGTTTTTTCACCCTCAACCAGCTCAACCTGTAAAAAGCGTGACGAACTCCGACTCGGAAAATGGCAGGACGTTCACTCTTCTCCAGTGATCAGCTTAGGGGATGCTGTCGGCACGATGGCAACAGAATGGCGATATGTGGCACTCTGTGCAGTTTGCTATTGAAGCCATGGCCCAGTCGAAGTAGTTGATTTACCCATGGGCAATCTGGTAAACTCATGCTATTAATGGGTAAATCAACTATTTCGACTGGGCCATTTTCAATAGCAAACTGTTAGTCATTACCAGAGGGTATATATACACGTACATATATATATATATATATATGCGCAACGCCTGGGCTTTGCCCAGGCGTTGCAGCGTAGAGGTTTCCCATTCCCAAACAAATGTTGATGCAACTTCACAAAATTCCCATGGGAAAAACAACAACGGTACTAGGGAATATTAAACTCCCACCCTTGAAACTTTACATTCAATTCGGAAGATCAACAAAGGTACTAGGGAATATTAAACCCCCCCACCCCGTTAAACTTTACATTCAATTGGGAAGATCAACAAAGGTACTAGGAAATATTAAACTCCCACCCCCGTTAAACTTTACATTCAATTGAGAAGATCAACAAAGGTATTAGGGAAAATAGAAGTTTAATGAGGGTGGGAGGATTAAACCCTTATTGAATATCTCCAATGAATGTAGAAGTTGAACGGAGGTGGGAGAATTAAACCCTTATTGAAGATCTCCAATGAATGTAGAAGTTTAACGGGGGTGGGAGAATTAAACCCTTATTAAAGATCTCCAATGAATGTAAAAGTTCAACGGGGGTGGGAGAATTACAGTAAACCTTTATTGAAAAATCTTCATTGAATGTAAAGTTCAACCGGGGTGGGACTTTAATATTGAAGATCTTCAACAAGGGTTTAATTCTCCCACCCCCGTTAAACTTCTACATTCATTGGAGATCTTCAATAAGGGTTTAATCCTCCCACCCCCATTTAACTTCTATCTTCATTTTGAAGATCTTCAACAAGGGTTTAATTCTCCCACCCCCGTTCAACTTCTACATTCATTGAAGATCTTCAATAAGGGTTTAATTATCTCACCTCCGTTAAACTTCTATCTTTATTTTGAAGATCTTCAACAAGGGTTTGATGATGATGATGATGATGATGATGCGTTGCCTGTCCTGGTTGCGGTTCCGGGCAAAGCCCACGCATTTGCCGTATATATACATATATATTGTATACACATGTATAGACCATGGTGAATCCTCCCATGTTCATCATTTTTATGGTGGAAGGGGTATCCTTTCTATAACTTTCAAAGATGTCCCAAAATACGTCCGAAAATTGGCGAGGGTCAGAGTCTTGATTGTGTGTACATGTTTGTACTTGCACGGGGGGGTCTTTGACATTTCAAAAAAACAAAACATGTCAAACAAAAATCAAAAGCTTGGACATTTCAAACGTGTGCTTCTTGAATTCTTGAAGCTTCTCGATTTGTATTTTATGTATCCCACCCAGGTGCCACGTTTAGTCTCCAAAAATGCAGAGGCGTGGGGCCGAAAGGGGGGCGCAGGGCGAAGTGGATTGCAAGAGATTTCAATCTGGAGTTTGTTTGATCTTATATTCTTAAGTGGATTACAATATAACTTGATATACTCTTCACTATTCTCATATAAGATTGATCTCATTGATACTGCAATCTTTGAAAAAAATTGGAGAAATCGCTGTCGCCAGTGAGGGCTTATGTTGACCCGTTTACCCTGCTGCGCGCTGAAGAAAAGGGTGAGCTGATTCACATGTTTCGTGGTTTTAACCGGCACTCTCATTGGAAAGTGCACGAAAGATTTTACTAAAGATTTTACCCTCTGGTAAACGTTTACAGTTTGCTATTGAAAATGGTCATTCTTAGTGGATTTACCCATTAAAAATGGTGATTTTCCATAGTTACGTTAGTTTACCAGAGGGTACTAAAGATCACTATACTAAACTACCTAAAATGATGGTTAAACTACCAATGAAATGATGGTTTTTTCTGGGACCAAACGCTAAGATGACTCGCAGCACTTGGCTGTGCAGCAGTGCCCAGGGGCTGAAAGCCGGCGAACGACAAGACAGTGACAGGCTGGATGTGTGGGTTGAAGTATTTGCTACGTATACATACAATTACATACAAATACCATCATACATATTGAATTTTGAAAATTCTCTGTGTGCACGATGCGCACAAGTTACTTTTTGTTTTGTGCGCAAAGAGATCTCGCAACTGCTGGCACTTTTGCGCTTCGTGAGCGTGATCTGCCTGGCTGTGAGGCTTCAATAGGGAATTGCACCATGGCAGGATTTCCATCAATGGGATGACCATAGCCCATAACTTTAATAGGTCATCCGTGATAAAATCAACATGACTAAAAAAAACATATCGGCGTCTTGGGCGGAGCCATGCATATATGCACTGTTTCTTAATTACATCCCTACTTTTTCCGTGTATTTTGCGATAGCGAAACGCTCTGTCTTGAAACCCTGGTCCTCCGATGTCCTCTTCAGGATCTCGCAGGTGTAGATCATAAATTGCCCAGCTTCGCTTTCAAAGCAAGGCGGCCGTAGATTCGCTAACCTGACCCCTCTGAATGTCACCTGAAAGATCCTGACGTGCAGCGTGCGCAACCTTCGCTCATGTCGCACCATCCGAGTGAGATATGCTCCTGACATGATCCAAATGACAGAAAGCATAAAAATTTGACGCGAACATGATTTAGTTTTGATGAAGTTTGAGAGGTTGAGCAAGCCTGGAAAAAAAATGCTTTCAGAATGGGAGACAAGCGGACTCACGAATTACTTTTTTTTCATTCGAAAGAATTCAGCCGAGACAGCATTTGTCACACGACAAAGAAAAGCATGTCTTAAGGCACCATGCAGAAGCACAAAAAACGCACGGTCACTCATGCGCACAGTAGCGGTTGTCCCGGTTTTGGCCGCACGCATTTCTGAATCAGACAGTCCTGCTTCCAGCATGGCTGTTGCCTCCTAGGGGACCTGCTCGGACAAGTATCCTCGAACAGGACCCGACACGGTTCTCGGACGCTCCCATGTTATATGTTCTCGGAGATACTTTGCCATGAGCAAAGTTACAGTCTTCTGCGAACATCGGACTAGAAAGTGAGAGAATCTCTGTGTATCCAGTTTCTGGTGGTGCATGATTAGCATGTCAATTGCTTGGATAAAATAGCGAGTGTTTACAGTCGTTTTCTTTAACATGTGTGTGTGATGTTGCTTTCCATATCGTGAAGATGATCAGTCCACAGCAACCACGCTGGAGGGACACAACATTGTGTTCGCATTGGTGCGGTTTTGCATGGAAAAGATGGAAGATGAAGTACTTGCAAGATGTCAAAACGATACATATGGCTGGGCCAGAAACAGAAATTAGACGTAAGGACTGGCACATGTGCATGACTTTGCATGGGGGTGCGGGGAGAAATTGAGGAGAGGGCTCCAGAAGATAGAAGCTGCTCCGTTTGCAGGGAGGTCATTTGCATTTAGGAAGTTTTTTCAAATGGTTGTTTTCGCAGGAAACCATGGCCCAATGGCTTGAAACAACACCAGATCATTGAAGTGTCAAGCTTTGTAGCATGTTCCTTGCCATGGAAGCCCAGCTGGATAGCCCCAACGATCGTGACAGATGACCTATAATTTTTGGCGGACACTGTCCGTGACAATTGTGGTGATACAAATGGTAAAATCATGTAAAATCCAGAGTTTGATTGAAGATTGCCTGTGCCAGGTCACTCTACACTGTGACTCTACATGTTGCTTTCAAAATGCTCTACCCTCTGGTAAACTAACATGGCTATGGAAAATCACCATTTTTAATGGGTAAATCAACTATAAATGGCCATTTTCAATAGCTATGTTAAATTACCAGAGGGTAAACGGAGAGGAGATTTTTGGAGAGAAATCTGCATCGAAGTACACGTCCTTTTTTAGTGCAGCAAGGTCACCGCATTGCAAACATCGAGGATGCCATCCAGAGTTCCTCGCGTGCAACACTCGGCAGAGCAGCCATCTACCTACCGTCCAAATCTCCACTTTGTCAAAAATCACTGATTGGTGGTTTGGAACATGAATTTCATTTTGCCATATATTGGGAATGTCATCATCCCAACTGACTCATATTTTTCAGAGGGGTAGGTATACCACCAACCAGATCATGTTCATGATAGATTGAATCATGATAGATTGAATCACATATTGAATCATATTGCTTGCAGAAGTCGGATGTGGAGAATGATAAGGGCGACATAACTACGTTTGTGCCCAACATAGATTGCAAAAGACCACGGGCGGTGGTCATTTGCTGACTTCCCCTTCATGCTGCTCATGGATTGTGATCATTCAATTCGAAAATCTCATTCTGTGCAGTTCTGTTCAATTGATCATTGTTGACTTTGATCAACCTCAGTTGCTCCGAAGACCTCAATATCCAATGTATTTTTAAATGCATGACTGTATGTCCAAGCCAGGTCTGGCCTTGTCACTGTCTTCCATAACTGCCATTTGTGAATAATTCTGAGTCAAGATGTTGAGGAATTCAGCAAGTCACTGGGGGGCCCAAAGTTGAACCATTCCAACAAGAGAGCTGTACAGAGTTTGTCAATCTGAGCATGTCTGAGTCATTCTGAGTCAATTTCTCGAGTATCCTTCCAGAGAGGAATGCTTTCCAGTGGTACTTCGCGCATCTATCTCTCAAAATCTCTCAAAATGTGTTTGGAACGGCGCAGATAATCCGCTAACCACTATAATTTTCTGGTTGATGGATCAAATGGATCCAATCTCAAATCATCTCGCCCTTTGGCTGGTAACATGACTTGGACGTTTGAAACATGTTGGCTTCTCACTCTGCTTCGCCTTTGCGGCCACCTCGGTTCAGTTCTCTTTTCGCCGCGGGAAGAGAACGCCTGGCCTTGGGCCTTAGACGATTGGAGGGTACCCTCTGGTAAACTAACATAACTATGGAAAATCACCATTTTCAATGGGTAAATCCACTATAAATCACCATTTTCAATAGCAAACTGTTAGTCATTACCAGAGGGTAACTCCTTGGTTGACGTTTTGCGGAGTCAGACGCTCGTCCCTGTCGCTTGAGGGCCTGGCAAAAGCGACGCTGGCCGCTGAGGTCAATGTAGCTGCTGCTTAAAAAGCCATGGCCTTGCTGCGGCTGATTTGTGGCGCAACCCAGTGCTGGATCGGTTGGATTCGGATGTGGAGTCGCTTCAACTTTTTGTTGAGCTATTTTTTCTCACAGAACTTTTTCCGCAGAAGCTTTTCGTGAGATGATCTCTGACCATCTCTGACCCCTTTTTCCCTGGTGTTTTTTGGTCGCATAAGTCGCAGAGGTTTCTTCCATGTCTCCGTCCATGCCATAAAATTTCACAACGTATCAGCGGTAGGTCATGGCCGGGACAGGGAGCTGTGGATTGTGACTCGGACTCTGTATCCTTTTGGGTATTCAAACATGGCTGGGAAATCCATGAACATTCCATGACATAAATGGAGGTTTTCATCGGAAAATCAAGAATGAATGGACGCTTTTCGATTGCCACGTTTGATTACCAGAGATTTTCATCCATGCCGAAAGGGTCATGCTGTCAATGCATTGAGCGATGGATTGGAAAAAGCTTGACTTTTTGGGTACTGAATAGCTAGGTTTTTGTTACCCTCGGGTAATTTAACATAGCTATTGAAAATGGACCATTTATAGTTGATTTACCTATTTTAGATGGTGATTTTCCATAGCTATGTTAGTTTACCAGAGGGTATGATTTTCACAATGGGACCGCACCGAATCTCACCTCCATGACAGGAGAGCAAGTTCTCAGCATCAACAAGGCCCCGCAAAATGCCACGACTGTGCCTCAGGTGCCACCGACAGGACCGATGTTTTTCGCACCGAAATTGTGGGATAGGTAGCTATGGGATAACTATTGGATTAACTATATACTCAACTATATTTAACTATACAATAAAACCATCCAGACCGTCATCAATTTGTGGTTTATGAAAGTTTCTGCTATATTAATAGTTGAAAACTTGAGACTTTTTCTTGCAAGAATCTTCTAGAAGCCTTGAAAGTCCCGCGAGGCAAATGCTTCGAAAGTGACAGAGGAAGGTGGGCCGCAGCCTATGAATCAAGCTATTCATGGATTGGATATCTGGCCCTGGTGAATATGGATATGCTTTTTTGTCTGTAGATTTACGTTATACATACATTATTTTATCAATGATATAGCAACCCCCCCCAAAAAAAATGGAACAATAATGAACAGTAGATAAATTTTATATCACTGCACTACAGCAAAGCAAGTGACTTAAATCTATCTGTTTGGGGATCACTATATAATATTATTTACAGTATATTCATAGACATCATCATATACTGTATATATCTGTATATAATATTGAATAGTGGGATGGAAGATAGTATATCACTATATATAATATGCATATCAATATATCACTATATCACTATATCACTATATCACTATAATATACTATATCACTATAATATCCATATATATATGTTTTAATACATGGGATGGAAGTGTCTCAAGACGTTGGATCTTCAAGGTGCAAAGCTTGGACCCCCTCATTAATGACGCACTTGAAACCACTGGAAACCACTTGAAACACTTCACACTCCACAATTCACATTCTACAGATTCTACAAATTCTACAGATTCTACAGATTCTACAGATTCTACAGATTCTACACCACACTCCAGGCTATTGACACACTCCAGGCAAAACACACACTCCACAGCCTGCACCGCCCCCTCCTCTCCCCGTCTATGGCATGGATCAGTTTGATCCGGGAAATCCACCTGACCCATGACGGATCCATGGTGCTGCTATATATGGTAACATGATGTAACATGGATCCCATCAATATACCCCAGTTATGTTAGCATATATACCAGCACCATGGATCCTATGGGTGATATGATTTGTTTTTTTTGGAGAATTGTGGAGTGGATTCATAGAAATTATGGGATAATTATGGAGTGGATGGCTAGAAAAAACCATCTTCAATTGAAGTTTATGAAATTGGCTATGCCGCTATGACTGGGATGATTTTTATCATGATCCCTAAGATCCCTAAAACTCTTTGGTTTATGGTCTGGTTTACGGCATTGGTCATGTTTACCACATGATGCTTCCAAATGGCAATGTTCATAGGAAAAACATGGCTTTGGGACACCATTTTCACAGTTTCACTGCCACCTTGTTGGTGCTACTACCTGGTACACCCAAATGCCATAGTCGCCGTCCCACTCACATCATCTCATTTCCATGAAATTGTGCAGGTAGTTTCGGCTTCGACATGACAAATGTGTTCCGGAAACCCAGGGTGTTCAGGAGTGGTGTGACAGGATGTGAACACGAGTTGGCACCATCCAAGACTAGTTCGTGCTATCACCACATTGATGAGACCATATTGATGAAGTATATGAAGTTGACGGTCAGATCGTTCAGCTGATTGAACACTTTTTTTCACCACGGATTCTGCAACTGAAATATGGCTGACTATTGTAGTGCTGGAGGGCGGCTCGGGAACTATGCAAACTGATGGGATTATTCAGCAAAGACACTGGGAATATCCTGGAAATGATGGGAATATGATGGGATTTGTTGATGGGATGATATATTTTTAGTGGGATGTTTTTTTCAAATTCCCATGTGATTTTTATCTAGATCAGTTTACTTCACCGGTTGGTGGTGAGGTCGGTTGGTGATGTGAGGTCGCTACAGAAGTACGAACGCTACATGTGGATCATTGCTGCGTCCTCCTTGACCTTTGCCTTGATATTTGAACTTTGCCATCGACGCTTTGTATCTTGACATATCGGAAGACACATGGAAGACCCCGGAATCTGATGCCGAGAAGCTGGGAGGCCTTAAAATCCAGTGGTCGATCATGGTTATATATATATATATATCTATAAATATCTATCAGATGGGTAAATCATGTTCCAGACCCAGAAAATGTGGGCTTCTTTTAGAATTCCTTTTTGGGGGTATACTGTACCCGGTATACCCCCCAAATAGCAGACAAAGCCAAAAAAAAACACGAAAGCCACGAAAGCCGTTCCGTTGATCTTGCAGAATTTCTGAACTATCACGATTAGCGACCCGATACAGGGATGCGAAAATCAGTGCTCAACGGCTCAACTGAAAATCCAAGTGGTTATTGGCCATGTTTAGAAGAAACTCGCAGCCATACCCTGGAGATGGTTCAAATATTTATTTTGTCATTTTTTTGTCGTTTTTGTCTGTCATTTTTTTTGTCATTTCAGTTTTGTCTGTCATTTTTTTTGTCATTTCAGTTTTGTCTGTCATTTCTTTTGTCATTTTTTGTTGTTTTTTTCTTGTCATTTCAGTTTTGGTTTATCATTGTTTTTGTCATTTGGTTGATTTTTTGGTATTGTTTTTGACATTTTTTGTGGCCGCCATGTCAAGGTTCGGTAAATTGTTGGTATATTTTGGAATTATATATTATACATATGCTCTCCAGTTTTCTTCAGATTGGGAAGCTTTAAACAAACCCCAATTACCATCATTAAAAAAAACATGGCCAGTGACAGTCGTCGAATTCTCAACAGCTAATGTCATCATCCCATTTGACGAACTCCATCATTTTTCAGAGGGGTAGGGCGAAAAACCACCAACCAGTATCAGTCTCTCACACCTTGAGATGGTTGCAAGTCCTGTCGCAGCATCACATGATTTTCTAGTGTTCCTAGACTATGCAGATCTTTGGAGGATCTTGGAAGACCAGAAAAACAGCATTTTTAAGAGTTCCCAAGAGATGGAAACGGACTAACAATGTTTGCTCAAAACTGAAACTCAAATCAATGTTCCACCGGTTTCCAAAGCAGCGAAGTGTTTATTCTAGGTCTATGAAGTTTCCAAAACAGATGCTAAGTGTATAAATGGAATGAACTTTCTAAAGAGAAGTCTTTCTTACCAAGGCCCACATTGACCTGACGCTTCAGTGCCCGGGTGGATTTGGGTGGACCTGAAACTGTTTAAATCACCATAGGTGATCCAAAAAAACAGATTTTGGGGGGATCATCCAAAGAGAATGACCAATGAGTGGTTGATTGTGGGGGATTGGGAAAGGGCACAGTTTGATGTGGCGCTCGGAAAGGCCCTAAAAAGTCACAGCTGAGTCATAAAAGACTATATACAGCAGTATCTGTATGTAATTATCTGGAATATGCCGAGTTACATATATATGCCTTGCATTTCGGTTGAAACTCACTAAGTTGGATGCCAAGTGAAACGGCCATATGATCCATAGCAAAATCCAGCCCCATGGTTTCATTCCACAGGGGATACCGGGACGAACTGCTTGAGGCCAGACTGTGGTGCTGAGCATCACGAGTCACTTGGATCAAATTGGCCCATCCTGGTGATAGCACAGATCCATAGGTACCTGGAAAACCATATAGGAAAACCATAGGAAAACCATAGGAAAATGGTGGTTGTTCATGGGATTGAATGGGAGTTACCCGGCCTGGTAAACGTTGAAACATAGCTATTGAACATGGCCCGAAATAGTGGATTTTCCCATTAAAGAATCTTGATTTTCCATAGTTATGTAAACGTTGACCAGAGGTAACTATGTTACTAGCTTGTGAAACAAAAAACAAATTGTGAAAAATCTCTAGTTCATGCTCCTCATCCTACAGCTTCAGCAATACATGCTCCTTGATCCTGCATTTGACCTTGTGCAGGTACATCTGATTTGGTCAATGCTGCAGCTAGAAATGTTGTTGTTGTTGTTGTTGTTGTTGTTGTGGTTGTGTGGCCAATTGAAAACATGTTTTACATTCACTCTTTTCAGGCAACTTGATATCGCCAGATTTCTTCTCTAAGAGTGCTTGCATGCTGCACCATGCTGCATTTCCAGCAACATAAATCCGAAGCTGTCCTTTGCCCAGTTGCTCATTGGCCATGAAGTATCCTTGCTTGGATAATGTCATGGATTTTATTTCAAAATAATGATGAATCATCTTGATTGTTTTGTTTGTGTGGCATTTGTTTGGATCTTTTCGGATGTTAGAAAACCTGGCCTGAGGTTCAGAAATACAGCAATGGTGTGGTGATTTGAACTATCATGTGGTTAGAATTTGTTTAAGTATGAGTTGACTCTTGTAGCAATTTGGTTAGTGTGTTGTAAAGGACAAAAATGGACCCTGAAAAAGATCATTCTGTGTCAGTGCAAATGTTAAGAATTATATGACATATAAAGGATAGGCGTGTTCGTGCTTGCCTAAGGCTCCTTTTCAGTAGGCCCCACCCCAAAAAGTCCTCACATATCACGGTGTCCAATACGTGGCTGGTTAAAATCTGGTCGAAGTGGCACAGCTTATCAGGCTTGTCATGGCTTGTCATTGTCACTATAATACGGGGATAGGTCAAAACCTATATCAAATTACCATATTTTAGGGAATTACATGGAATTACCATCCATTAACCAGCAATTTTTCCGGGTACCTAGGCAGGTTTCTTGACCCATAACTGCCCATTGAATCTGGAATCGATAAAAACCCCGGCCTCCATCTGCCGTGTATCCATGGGTGAGGCAAAAGATCAGCCAGCTGTTTTCCGGTATATTGCCGCTGGCAAGGTCACCCCGGGTCCGAAGTTTGATGCAGTGGATGCAGTGTCGGATGTTTTTTTTCCCGTTTTTTCCGGGAAATTTCATCCACCAAGTTGTGGAAAATCTGGCGAAAAAAATGAGATTTGTCAGATTTTGTGAGATTGGAAAGTCAGCAAGGCTCCAAAGAGCTCGTTGTATAGTGCCATGCTGTTGTCGGCTTAGCTCTTTCCCGTCAATTTGACAGGATGTCAAACATCTCTTGAATAAAGTTTCAAGGCAGAGGTTGTCCATGGTTCCTAGAACTATGCTGATAGCTATCCTAGCATACTATACATTACTATACCATTACCCCAATTTTCAGCGTATATCAGAAATCAGGATGTTTTGGACACCCAGCTTGCAGGCCGTTCTTCCTTGAGAAAAGTGGCGCTTGGGGATATATTTCCGCTATCGCGATGTCTGAGCCTCATCCATGACCGGATCAGTGTGGAAACCATAGTGATATACCCTCTGGTAATTTAACATAGCTATGGAAAATCACCATTTTTGATGGGAAAATCCACTACAAATAGCCATTTTCAATAGCTATGTTAGTTTACCAGAGGGTAATATCGGCGCGGCTTTCCTGTTCAGAATGGAACATGGTGTTATAAACAAGCCTGCTTGCAGCTTCTTCTCAAAGTGTTGAGGCGAGTTTTTGTGAACTTGTGAACACTGAGATAGTTTTATAGTTTCATGCCAGCAACAATTACCATCTGGTTATTTAACATAGCAAAGGAAAATGGCCCATTTACAGATGATTTTCCCAGCTATAATAAACCTCCATTTGTAATGGATGTTCCATAGCTAGGTTAAATAACCAGATGGTATGAAGAGACATGGGTCATTCTGTTCCGCAACACGCAACACGCACCATCTCCAGTAGCCACACTTGCAGTACTAAATGGAGCTATCCCGAAATCATCCACTGGTTGGTGGTTTGGAACATTTTTTCCCATATATTGGGAATGTCATCATCCCATTTGACGAATATTTTTCAGAGGGGTAGGTATACCACCGACCAGATCCATTTGGAATAGGATTTTCCATGAAATAAACCATCCAGCGATTTTTAGGGGTACCCCCCAGAATATGGAAACCCCCAAATGATGTGCGAGTGCGTTACGAGTTCTGATAGTGCCACACCGGGCTTCACCATTAAAGAACCAGACGTCAGCAACAGTTGTAAGTTGTAAGATCAAGTTTCTGCGAGGACTGTCCTAAATCTTTATCCCTCGACATGACAAGACGTAACGATTCCATCTATTCCCAAGGACGGTGCTACCCTGCCATGAACAAAGCCCTTCGGGTTTGTTTGAAAATCTGGTAAACGTTTACATAACTATGGAAAATCACCATATTTTATGTGTAAATCAACTATAAATCATCCATTGTCCATAGCTTTTTGTATGTTTACCAGGGGGTAAGTCACACATTTCTCAATCCACGGCTTCATCATGATTAATCATCGTGATGCCTCAAGTTATGGCCCATGCCATAACTTGGGGACTGACTGATCCCCGACAAAGATCAGGATTGGAGGGATCAATCTGGTCCTGGGTGGGGGAGCTCAAGAACCCCGATGGAATGCCATAGGCCATGATTGGAACATATTGGAACCATGAGTTTGATGTACCCTCTGGTAAACTAAGATAACTATGGAAAATCACCATTTTTTTAATTTTTAATGGGTAAATCAACTATGAATGGTAATTTTCAGTAGCTATGTTAAATTACCGGAGGGTACATGATGTACATGTAGATAGCACCGTGGCTTTTCTATGCAAACATAAAACTCATAGATGGAATCTCTGACTATATGAGCAAGTGCACTCTTTCTCGGCAACAGGTCACCTTCCCCCTAACTTTTTTGGTCTGCTGCTGTTGAAATGTCAAATACCTTCGAGACTGTTACATTGCACCCTTTTTTTTCCAGGGTCGGCCAAAAAAAAACGATCAATCGTTGTAAGAAACGCTAAAGAAAGCTTTGAAGCGGTCAGTGAATCTCCGAATTTTTTACGGCTAGCAGAAAAGCTGTTGCACATGTGATTTTGAGGCTTCGCCAGTAAATTCAGGGGCCCAAAAAAAACCGCTTGTTCCGTAAAGTTGATAGTCATTTGACCAAAAGAGACAAAAAGCCACCAATCGGCTTCATTCGGATCCATCAGATTTGAAAATTCCCGGCATGTTTGGTGACCGAATTGCCAAGGGATCATCCTTATGGTGTGGAAAAAAGAGTTCTGGGACGCTCAGATCGCGTGATCGGGTGGATCATGGTGGATCCAGGAACTGGGTCTGCAGAACATCAATTTTTAGTGACCTGGAAAACATACAAAAAGCTATGGAAAATTGATGATTTATAGTTGATTTGCCATGATTTACGTATTTAAAGTATGGTGATTTCCCATAGTTATGTAAGCGTTTACCAGGCCGGGTAAGTCACACATTCAATAAATTGGGGGGGCCACTTGAAAACTGCCTCAGTTTTTTGAAGTTCCTATGTGAATTCCAATTGGCACATCCGTCCCTAAGACGTCCGTGGGACGGAAGCGACATATCTGAATTGATAAGTTATGACAGTTATGAAGACATCTGAGGACATCCCTATTAGTTGGTGATCCAACCAAACAGCTCGCAAAGATGCTTGTGTCTAGCGCATGTGGCTGATTCTCGCTCTTTGGGAGCCTCAACTCATGCCTTGTCCACAAAGCGAAAGAGTGTCCCTGCTCCTTCACGCTTTTAGAATCTTTTATATATGTACCAAAAAAGCTCAACTCACATGTCTGGAAGCAAAGCCGCGCAGTTAGGACCACCGGCCTTGTCATAGCCTTAAAAATGCAGATACCCAGCAAAGTCAGCACCCGCGATGAATCTCGATGAAACTCTTGCTCCCCCACTAAATCACCAGTTGGAAGTCGCAAAATGTGGACGAGTCTCGCCTGTTGCCACACAAAGCTCCACCCCCCGGGCACTAGGGTACAAGGGTGGGCACGAGGGTCCTGTGACATTCTGTGACCAAATCCTGCTAGGATAAATGGGTATGGGTCAATACCTATAGATACATTACTATAGTGGGATGAACATCCATTTACCAGCTATTTTGGGGTTCACTAGGTACCAGGGTTTTGACCCATCCCCAAATGACTAAGTCATCAAAAATATGTCTCATTGCTCCCTCGTCTAACAGTCTAACATCAATTTCACCCTTGAATTTCGCACCAAAACTTCAAAAAATCGCCAGATGTTTACAGCTTCCAAGGATGCCATCGAGAAGAAGAACATTGACCGCTTCTTTCCGCTCCCTTGGCATGTTGGTACCCCTGAAGTTGGTGTAGCTACCACCAACCGCTGACCCACACAACATCGACGTAACCATGATTTCATTGCATATGTGTGTGTGTGCATATTCTGATGTATGCTATCCTTTTTGTATGTCATGTAGTGTGCATGTGTGGAATATCATATATACATATATATGATATATATTGTGTGTACATATGTGTACTATATATATATAGATGTTAATGTGCAAGTACAATACATATAGTATATCTTACTATATGTGTGCGTCTGTGATGTGTATATACATATTATGCACATCAGTGTCACATCAGACTCTCATAAGTGATGGAAGCCTTAGCCATCACTGTCAATGGCTCAGAACCTTTTCCGACAGCATTCAGAGAGTGAATTCTCTCTGCTCATCAATGGGCATCAATGGGCTTAGCAGAACTGAAGACAGCTACAGGTACAATCTTAATTTGGATCTTGGATTCCCAATTTCCCCAATCAACAATTGGTTACCCTCCGGTAAACGTGGCAAGCTGGGAAATGTTCGAATAAAATTTTCAAGCGGCCCATGTTTGACACTGGAGGGTACCTGAATTGAATAATAATATTATATATATATATAACTTCATGTAAGTTCATATATGAATCTAAATATACATCTATAATAACTTGAACAATCATATGACAGAATAACAATTAGTTACTTCCTCTATCTTCCTCTTTTCCCATTGGTCGTTGCCAGGCTCCTATTGGACGTGGCGTTTCTGGCCTGCGGACGTATCGTGCTCTCCACTTACAGCGATTACATCGGTCACTGGATATGACATGTTCAACGATGAATCTGGATGGGTTTTAATTATTCAGGGATTGCATTCATTTTATATTAAGGTACTAGTTATTCTTTTCATCATTTGATGGGTACTAATCATGATCATTTTCAAGCCAAAAAATGATGATCAAAATGAAAAAAAATGAAAAAATGATTTAAAAAAACATGATTTCCAGTCCCTGGCTGGCTGAGATGAACATAATACTACTGTAATACCACCAGTTTTATATAGTCTAATGTTTTATACATGATATTGAACACGGAAAGCAAATCTCGGATCAGGTTTGCAACTATTTGTTTGCACATGTTTAGCTACGGTTTCTGTCAGGTGTGACAATCTTGTGGTATTTGTTAGATCAACTGCAATCAAAACAAGGCGGACCCCATGCTTGTGGCTGCATTTGACACCTGATCAAAGACTATCACATCTATCACATCCTTCTCCATGTGACGCGATTGGCAGTAGTCATTAGTGCTTCCGAACGTGCAACTCCGACCGTGCGGGTTTTCGTTGTTTTTTCCGCCGAGGAATGATGCTGTCCATCCGATGGCGGCAACACATGACGCAGTGGTTGGTTAGCTTGTGGCTTCAGGAGCCGCATCTCATGATTTCATGTGATATATTAATAAGAAACCATCCCCAATCCCCCAGTCACCACATCAGTCATCACCAATTTTATAGGTGGTATATAAACCATTCCCAGTCATGGATGGTAAAAATGGTATTGTTTTACCCAGCTTTATTTTTGCCGTCACAAAGACTGCCAGTGGCAGTGATAGACCTAGTTATACAGTCTCTGTTCCCTGATCGATACGGGCACCTGCCACCAAGATTGGAGGATTAAGTCTGAAAAGAGATCGATCAGAACACGGCGGGATTGATGTAGCTTCGCTCATTTGGGTTCTCTCGAATTTGGATGGTTTCAACAGTGCCACAAGGTCCAGCAGAATTGCTGCCATATGGAACCTCTTCAAGTTTCTTGCTCACAGGACAAGTCTTTCTACAGCCTCCAACTGGGTAATGGTAAGGTGCGGACAACGGACACTATCATCAACCTGAGAGGCACAACTGTGACTTCGATGTTTAATCGCCTCATTTCTTCATTTTAAAAATGAATCGATCCAATACAAAAGTCTATTGAAAATCTTAAGAGTACTACTGTTGATGGAAGAAATCCTGCACCACCTTGGATGGTTGAAACCCTATAAATAATGAGATAAACCACCTATCAACAGTAGGGATTTGGGCATTTGGGGGTGGACTTCCAGCAAGCCGCAGAGGCACCGGACAATCCAGACCAACGAATCCAAGAAGACGTGCGGGTCTTTGTTGAGTCGGCTCCCTCAATGCTCCAGACCTGGTTTTGGGTAACAGTATATGTTTATGTATATAATACTGTATATTATATTATAATTATATATATACAAGTACTTACATATAACCATATATATATATACATGCATGTGTGTTATGTATTTCTAAATATATATATATACATGCATGTGTGTTATGTATTTCTAAATATATATATATATATGTACATATATGCTATATATAGCATGATATAGCAATCCTAGCAACAGAATGAAAGGAACGTAGTGGGACCAGCTACAGTGATTGGCTGCTGACAAAATGAAGGCAGTCCTCGAGGTTAAGTCGTCTAGTCATGCGGCATACAGCGTTCCTGATGATTGACTGTGACAAAAAAACACAAAACTAGGCATGTCCATTGCATGTTTGCACATCCAAGAGATTTGTCGCTTGGAAACGAAACAGACACTTCTGACACTTATTAGGGCCTCTTGTTTGCTTTATCAATTACCCTCTGGTTATTTAACGTAGCTATGGGAACTCACCATTTTTTATAGGTAAATCATCATAAATTATCTATAAATGGGCCGTTTTCCATAGCTACGTTAAATAACCAAAGGGTACTGCATATGCTGCTTTAGGCAATCCATGCTGCTGGGAACTGGCTTCACAATATCTGTGAGTCAGCTGGTCTCTCGCTTGCGCGGTGCCCCATTGGTGGGTAAAAACTAGTTCCGCTGCATTGATGGCGTTTTGTAGGTGGCATTCCAATTAGTTGATGTTTGTTTCTAATTAGTTGAGGATGCCAAATGGCTTTTGTCATAAAGCATCAAGCCGGATGCACGTTGAGGAAACGAACTACCCATGTCGGCAGGAGCAATCTGGTGACAATCAAGTTGCGATCTTCAAAAATCCCATTGTCAGTTCATTTGGGCATTTGTTCCCAAAAGAGTTCGACCATATCAGAAATTTCCTGCAAGTCTCACAGGGGTTGGTAAATGTCCTGTCTTGGGGTTCTAAACATCACTTTCAAGTACCTGTTAGCTGTGGGATACTATCTCCCAATAGTTGGGTGATGCTCAATTAGGACATTTACCACCACCTCTCATCAGTTAGAGTTTCTTGGTGTTTTTTCTGAGATTCCTGAGAACGTCTCGCAGCTGAGAAGACCAGAGGATCATCAATTGGACATACCAAAAGCAAGACCCATATTGCTCAAACTCTTCCGTCACAGACCAGTTTTCGGAAATTTCAGCTTGAAACAGCCGCCTGAAGAATGAGCCCAAATTGGGTTTCAACACCCTTTCAGCAGCCATTGTAGGTGGCCACTAAGAAATGCTAAGAAGTGTTTGTCGCTTCCTCGACCAAAATCATCAGCATAAACCCATCATAGACCCATCATAGCCCCAACATAACCCATCAGAACCATAGGCTCAGAGCCACAGAAGCTTAGGCCAATGCTGCTGGTGCTATCCCCTAGCTATGCCTTTGGAACGTCCGAACGCCCGGGTGTTCAGGTATTCAGCCATTATTCAGCCACGAATTTAGGCGGTTCTTGGAACCAAGAAGATACCTGGTGTCTTTCCATGATATGAGAGATATATCTGGGCAAATTATAACGACCTCACTTTTCTCCCGAACCCTGGAATCATGGTTAATAAGAGGAATCATCCCGAATGGCCTTACTTCAGGTTAGTGAATTATTGTAATTTGCCCAGATATATGAAAATGTCCCAGCAGTCCAAGAAGGAATTGATATGAATTGATCAAGGAATAGATCGTGTCAAACAATAAGAGACGACAAGAAATAACAATGATGATCATTCAATGATCATGATTCATCAATGATTCATCAATGATTCATCAATGATTCATCAATGATTCATCCACGATTCATCCATGATTCATCCATGATAGTCATGATGAGTCCACCATTTATCGCCAGGTTCTATTGCCCCGGCTGGTTGCTGTACATCTCATTGATCTACTCCGGCCTCGGGACCTTCGTAGCGCATGAGGACTGACGATGTAAACTGTCAATCAGGAAGTTTTCTCTTGGTCCATTGGAAAGGTTTTTGAAAGGTCCATGAAAACTATAGAAAGGTCCATCAAGATTATAGGTATTTATAGGTCCTATTGGTCCTATTGATTCTATTTGGTGATAATGATTTAAACGCCATCATTCAGTTCATTTTCAAAAGTCATGAAAAACATGTCACGACCAAGGCACAACCATAGAGAAGAAACGCAAGAAAGAAGTCAACAAAAAGAAGATCCCAATCAAAGAAACCAAATCAATGTATTACAAATTTGTGTCTAATTTGTTCTTTGCCCTTCTGTTGTTGCTTCTTGTGATCGTTTTGTGATGTTGATCCCCTAAACGTGCAGTAGGATTGCGCCACGAAACCCCTGGACAACGACTTCTGCAGTTACAATAGCCATAGCTGAATGATAATAGTTATCCATTCACGCATAGTTGTACCATAAAGGACGTGCTTGTGTTCTCACATGTTTTGCAAATTGGATGATATCGAAAACCGCATTCTTTCACCTGCGTTTTGCATGAAAATCGGGGGTTGCTCAATGGATTGGAAGGAAAAATCATCGTAGTCTCAACGTTTAAAAGAAAACAGACAATTTCCATCTGGTTGGTGGTTTGGAACATTTTTTTTATCTTCCATAATATATTGGGATAATCCTTCCATAATGTATTAAAACCACCAACCAGCCATTGGCATACACAGCATTTTCGATTTGTTCCAAATGGAGCCTTCCTGAGAACTCTGCACCATTCATCCCATGACACCGCCTTCTTTCGACACGAAGATAGATCATTAGTGTAGCATCCAGTAGTGATCAGTAGTGCAGCATCATGAAATCAATCTCAGTTGCCCTTTCAAGGCGCACAACGCAGCTACAATTTCGGCGCATAAAGAAACTGATGGCAATGATCACAAAGATGTGCTGATTTGGAAGGGCTAGCTGTTTGAAAAATACCATGTTTGCTGATTTCCCTTTGGAAATTCCTCCTCGTTTCCTTGTTCATTTCGTTTTAGGTTGGAACCGGTGGAAATTTGTTGCATGAAGAAAGTGTCCGATCAACTGCAGCGCATGCCATGTTTCACACACGTGCCATTCATGAGTTCTGACATCCCAAGTTGGTTCCCCCCGGTGATGTGAATGTTGGCAATCCATAGGAATAGTATAGATATATCAACCATCAACCACAGTGAAATTGGAGTTATGTTCACCAACTTAGCTAACCATGGGGTACCATCTTGTACCAAGGTGTTTTTTTTACTGCGTGATGTTGGATTAGTCGCAAAAAGTTCTTTGAACTGTCTCTTTGAAGCACGAATATTGCCTTAAGGGACAAATATGGTCACCAAGAAAACCTGTGTTATTTGGCCAGCACTTGCTTTCTGAATTGATGCATTTGCAAACAAAAACAAGAGCGTAAAAAGCCGCATAGATCATTGGCTTGCAAATTTTCAAAATCTGTCAACATCATGATGTGTGGTACCTAATTTGTTTCACAAAGACTCAAAACAGTCCCAGACGGTGGCTCCTTTGCACGGGCAGCTTGATGTCGCGTATGTTGTCATTTCTCATGTTGAACAGCAGCTACAAAGTCTCATTGTTTATATATATATATAATGTTTATTTCCATCGCCAGGACACTGTTTCGAGGCCACAAATATGATCAAATATGCTTCAGCAATTTCTGATTTTTCAAGTCGATCAGAATCTCTGTTGCCGCGCAGGTTGGGAAGCGGCTCATTGTGATCAACTTTGGTTTGCAGAAATACGAGGTGGGCCGGTGGTATTGTCTCGTTCATTTTTTGTTGTTGATCCCTCTGCAAATTGCGAATGATGCGATCATACGGAAAAAAATAATCAAAAAAGTGAGATCCTTCCGCCCCATGAATTTCTGATGGGAACTGCTTTATGAGGATCCAAGCCCAGCAATTTGGGGGGGTTCGGCCGTGTTTGGGATCTGCTTTTTTACTGCAGATCCTAACTTCAGTGGCAGATTCATTCGCTCACTGAACCTTGCGAGACCTTAGTACTGAATGGAAATTGAGTAGTTTGAGTAGTTCAGATGAAGAAATCTGGTCATGAAATGTCATGAAGAGTTGCGACAGGCACAATCCGTCACAGTCCACAGAGGTTTTGTTTTTGAAACATTGCGAAACTCCAAGTTTGGTTGACAGAAACTTCCAGATCTTACCGCCACATTCTTGAGCAAGGCCAGCTTTCGCTATGACGTGGTGCAGATCCGTGACACTGCATCAAGTTCGGCAGGTTAGGCGGTTAGGCATATGGATATGATGGGATATGATGGAATATGATGATATGGGGATCAAGGTCAAACACATTGGACCACAAATGGAAAAGGAAATGGATCAGTTGGTACCACACTCATTGGGTTTTCCAGAGTGGGTAATTGTATTGGTCGTTTGGCTGCACCCTCTGAGAGCACCTTGAGATACAAGAATCCCAACATGTCCTAACAGCCAGATGTTTTGAGAAAGGCTGGAGTGATGTGCTTATTTGCAATTGAAATTAGGATGTTTCTTCCCGCCCCTTCACCTCCTTGAGAGACTGTTCCAAGGAGTTTTTCAATCAGCTGTCAACAATCGATTTTTGAGACTGATTTTGATCATTTGCTGACACTGGTCGGATTTTGAGTGTGGCATTTTTTCATATTCCAATTTTGACCCAGACGTCGTAAAATCAGGGATGTCTTGGGGATTGCCCTTGGAGCTGATTCATGTGATCCACATGTCAAGAACTTTGAAAGCGAACTTGGACGGAGTGGGAAACAGCAAGAGTAGCGCACTGTTTGTTTCGCTGCCCCCCAAAAAAAAACGAAAAAGGAACTGATGCTATTGATGCTTAAGTAGTTCATAGATCTTCATCCGCATTGATTCTTGGAAGCTGTCCAGCTTTCGCTTGAGTCGCGAATGTGTTGGCATTCCTGAGGCGATAATGCGGAGTCGATTGCATTGTACGGTTCTGAAGCAGTTGAGGACACACCACCTTTCTTGCCCCATAGCATTCCATAGCATTCCATAGCATGCCATAGCTATCATGGGTGGTCGTTGAGGCCGTGATGCCAAATGTGTCAATCACATTGCCAGTTTTCGACATGAGCTACAGCCAAAATTTAGGTTCATATTGGAAAAACTGGCAAAAAAGGCTTGTAAAAAAAAATCACCGCCAAAAAATCACAGCCGAATAGAGAGTAGTATTCGAGCCGTCTCTATTTTTTGGAAATTGAGCTGAGGCTTGGAAAACGATAATACACTCACCAAAAAACGATAACATTTGCTCATGTTCAAAAACATATTCGATGCTTTGTGTAGGCATGCACCATCTGTTTCAGAGATAAGCAAGAACCCGCATCGTGACAATGTCTTGGCCACCAAGAACATCCCAAGAACATTCATAAAAGGCCACTTGGCATTTTGGTGCTCCATTCGCTTTTGAGTTTTGTGAGAAACTGTGAACCTTCTCTGGTTCATTGGGTTTGCTAAAGCGTGATGAACCCAATGAACCAGAGATAACAAATATTAATGACATGTGCGGCAACTATTCTCGGAGCTTAACCTGGTTGCATTTCAAGTCATCAGCGATGCCTATCACTATGTATCACTGTCAATTTGGGGTCAGTATGAGGTGTCAATTTTGCCACGGCAGAACATCTTCAGTTTCTTGATTTCAGCCCAGATTTTTTGTGCCTCCATAGCCAGGAAAATCGACTCAATCAGCGCTTTGAGTGGATTGCGCGAGTGTCAGACACCTAGAGTGACCGATTGTTAGGACCTAGTTCCTTCTGGAGCCGATTGATGGTTTTTCGTCATGAAGTTCAGTCACTCTCCAGAGGAGGTTTTTCACAGCGAGGACGATGTCGAAAACTGCTGCCATGTAGATGATATTATTCAATATGGCATATCATGAATTAAGTATTGAATCACTTAATCATATGAATGTCAACATGTACATATATGGCATTCATGATATGATGAGTACATATAATATCATTTTTCACATATCATGAATCACTCAGCGGCAGTGTTGAACAGATCCATAGAGATCCCATAGAGATCCCACGATTCAGGTGGTGGATGTTGATGAGCAGCACCAAGCAGTTGGGTTTTTTTCAGCCCCTCGCTGCATATGGCTAGATGATGCTAGATGGGCGGGGGTTTGGTGATTGGAGTTTCTCTTTGTTTTTGCTAGTTCTTGTTCTTGCTGGGGATTACAACATATTACACCTCCAGACTTGTTGACCCAGAGAATATTTGGACTTTGATGGAGAATATTTGGCCCGAAAGCCTTGGTATCCCACGGGCTAATCAGAGGCTAATCATATCCAATCATCATATCCCATATTAGGATGGTCCAATATCTACAAAAAACGATGGAAAATCAATGAAAATCATCATTTAGGGTAAATCAATGAACTATAGCTGGGCTATAGCTGGGCCAATTTCAATACGTTAAAGTACCGGTATGAAAGAAAGAGTTGTCAAGATTGTTCCGACGCACCTCGACCAGGTCGTTCTACTACCAGACTTCTGCCATCTTCCCATACTTGCTGCTTGCGCCCAGCTATTTCAAAGGCGCCCAGCAATTTTGAGCTTCGATGGTGCTCGCATGCTTCTTACAGCATCCTTTCATCAAAATCCAATGAAATCCTAATCCAATTACCCTCTGGTAAACGTTTACAGAACTATTATTAACTATGGAAAGATCCACCATGCTATTAGTGGGGATTCATCCACTATAAATCGACTGGGCCATGGCTTAACCGGCCGTCGCTTTTGTTGGTGATCCCCCGCAGCCAAGACAGCAGATGTTCCGCAAGATTTTTTGTTTCTTACACATCAGATAATTATCTTTAGTAAATATACCAAATAATATATATGATTATATAATTATATATAATTATACATAATTGTACATGATTATACATGATTGTACATGATTATATATGATTATATATGATTATATATGATTATATCATTATATACACTTATATAATTATATATATATTATGATTTTAGTGTTTTTGTGGGTGTTTTCCAGGTCAAATTACTCTCGGGAGCTTGTTCATGCTCTTTGACGCGCTGGGCTCCCTAGGCTTCGTAGGAGGGAAATCGGAGCACTTTTTCGACATCCGAAACGTGGTCAGATATGGCTATGGATCAATACCTATAAAAATACCATTTTTAGTGGGATGAACATCCATAAATCCCAGCTATTTTGGGGTTCACTAGGTACCAGGGTTTTGACCCATAGCCATATCTCTCAGAGTGCAGGGCAGCATTGTATGATTTGGGTATGGATCAATACCTATAGATACCATTTTTAATGGGATGAACATCCATTTTAACCCAGCTATTTTGATGTGAACAGAAGGGGTACTATTGGTTTTGACACACTGCCATTTAAGTATTTGTTGATATTGATTTGTATGTTCGATACGGAGTTTTTTTTGGAACATCTTTGAACCTTATCATTTGGTTTTCAACCAAATAGCCCAAAGAGTCCAGTTCTTTGGCTCAAATGATACGCAGATTGTAGCTGGTCCGGGGATTTTTGCGCAAGTGAAAGAGTGCAATGATGTACAATCCATGTCTTTTGACGTTCGGAAATTGCAGATCATTTGATGGGTCACTGGTTCATCTTACACAGCAACTTCTGAAGTCTGATAGGTCTGAAACATCCACATTGGAATGGCTCAAAAGTGTATACCCTCGGGTCATCAAACCTGGCAATTGAACATCCATTATGATATGTATGTGTATATATATATATATACACACATCTGGTTGGTGGTTTGGAACATGAATGTTATGTTTCCATAGATTGGGAATGTCAATCCATCCCAACTGTTACTCACTCCATCATTTTTCAGAGGGGTAGCGCGAAAAACCACCAACCAGATAACTTCTGTTTTTCGCAAACCCTAGATACTTAAAAACACCATTTATCCATATATCTGTCATATCCATTATCCATGCATTATCCAGTCATATATATATATCCACAAAAATCTTGAAATCTCGACCTTTATATGATGATTTTCCCGTTCAAACCTGCATTGATTCCCAAAGGTTGGCAACCGTGAAGGGCGGCTTTGACTGGTTCTTGGGAAGCTATGGCACCTTGACAAGCCTGGGCCCCGGTGACCACAACACCAGGTAGATTCTCACAGGGATAGAGGCGATTGTAAACTGCGGGAACCATTGGGAACCCCCTTCAAAAGATATATATATATATGGATATATATATATATATATGTGGATATATATGGATATATATATATATGTATGAGTATATATGGATATATATGGATATATATGGAGATATATATATATATGGATATATATATATATATATATAGCCTATGGCATATCAATAGTAAAAAGGCCAGTATAGGGGTGTGTTTCAATGACATACGGCTGATATTGGCTATTTGCCTGTCAAGGAGTGTTGCAAGTCGCCTACAATTGCCGCTAGTTGTGATGGAATTTTGGAAACTGGTAGTGATCTCTTCTTACTGGCACCAGTAAGTCTTGAAATGAGGATCCCATCATGCATTTTCTGAAAGGTGTGTGTGTGTGTGCCACATATTAGTTGGAAATAACCACGAAGGACATCACAGACCAATTCCTGATGCCAGGGCCAGACCCAAACAACAACAACAACGACGACAACAACAACAACAAGAAGCTGTTTGTTTCGTGATACGAGGTGACTGCCAGTTGAGATCTACGGGTGTACAAAGTTGGCTGAGTGAAAACATGTGGAGAATCACAGGTTATTGCCTTTCGCAGTCGTGCTCTAGATTTGACGACATCTTCCACCTGGGTCCTTTCCAAAATCTCCTGTTGGATAGGCGAATATTTTCCACGGCACATCAAGGTGACAGAAAAACTTACGCTCTGGTTATTTAACAGTTCTCCATGGTATAGATGGCCCATAGAAATGAATGGTTTACCTATTAATAGCATGGTGATTTTCCATGGCTATGTCAGTCATAACCAGAGGGTAAGTTTTTGAGCAAAGATCTCCTCAGCTTTCACCATTTTCATTCTGATCAGTTCTGTGAATCAATGCCAGACCACATCGAACAGGACATGTGAGAAATCTCATCATCGAGCAGCAACATAGGATCCAAAAAAGGATGTAGCAACATCAAAAATATATACAAATTAAATACATACACATCAAAAACCTATGTGATTAAAGAGTTTCAAACATGCCAGATGTTGATTATCAAAGGGATGGCCATTGGCCAGATTGCAAACAAAAAGCTCTGTGAAGAATTGCCAATTAGTTGACATGTTTGTGCACTGCAAAAGTCCAAAGACACCAAGCTATTCATTGGATGGCCCTCCCAGGTTATCGCGCTACAGTGGATCGTTTGTCCAATTTCATGGAGGCCGAAAGACGGAGAAACCTTTGGGGGGGACGATGGCTGGGGATGGCTGACATTGGTTGTTGTGATTCGATATGAGTATCAGCATGTATCAGCCAAGAATTAAACTCTGTATTTTGGCCATGTTTGGGCGAAGTGACTTCAATTTTTTTTCACAAGACCCAGACCAGAGCGGTTCAATTTCCTGGGTGCTATCAGTTCCGTAATTTGACAGGAAACACGGAAGAACATGTCAGAATATTTCACATGAACGGGTGAGATCTGAGAATCTAAGACATCCAAGACCAAAAGGGCATATCTTCCTTTTTCAGCTGCAGGATGGGGCCCCCCAGTGATGTTCGTTGCTTTATAAACCACAATAAGCCCCATTAACTATAGGTATATCTACCATAAACCATAGAATTCAGCCACTTTTGTTCGGCAACTGAACGCCTTCGCTCGGGGTTCCCATCCTGTGTAGGAAATTGTTCGCCTCCCTGGAGGCTCTTCATCAAAAGCCTCAAGGTGACGTCAGACGTCTGCAGGTGTGGAGGTTGAGATCCTGTCACCGTCGCCGTAAACGTTGACAGTTTGCTATTGAAAATGACCCATTTATAGTTGATTTACCCATTAAAAGTGGTGGATCTTTCCATAGTTATGTTAGTTTACCAGGAGTTGGTTTGTGGAACATTCTCACAGCTCTGGCATGTAAAATTCTGCAAGTCAATGTGGCTTTGCATATGTTTGGATATCGCCACCTCCGCACCAGGTTTCATAAACAAGTCACACGAACCGCGTTGTGTTTTTCCTATGTTATTCTCTACCTCATTTGCAGAAAGCTCCCGAGTTGCAGATGATTTCTGCTACATGTTCCGCAATTTCTCCTACTTCGGGATTCCTGAAACTCAGCCTAACCTGAATCCAATCCCAATCCAATCCCACTGCTGGTAGAGTACGACTGGAAGGCAAAAACAAAAAAGGTCTTGGTGAAGATTTCGCTGGGTTTTTCTGAAGCGAAAACTTGAAAACCCAAAACCCGCCTGCAGCCTGCGAAGATCAACATTTTGACACAGGTCGGCGACGCAGTAGCTGCCAAGGTGTCAAAGCTGCAGGTGTCGCTACCTTCGTAGCTCGGCAGTTTTCTGAAGACTGAGATCACGGGAAACTTCAGGAAACTTCATCTGTCTAAAAATGGTGTTTTTGACCTGCCAAAATACCAGCCAAAATGCCAATTATAGCAAGTATGATCAAGTATGAATAGTATGAATGGTGAAGATAAGAAAACCATCAAACATATCAAACCATGAAACTTTGGCTACCCTCCTTTCAGACAAACCCAGGTGATGAGGTACTAGTGATACTGGTCGGGATGTTTTTGAATGGTATCACAGTATCGCCCACCAGATTATATTTGAGTATGTTTGAGAATGGGTTAGACCCCCAATCAACCTGGCCATTTGAATAGGACAAAAGAATTACCCGCCAATAGTTTAAGATATCTATGGGAAATGGTCCATTTGTGGATCATTTGCCTTTATTTAGCGACTAGAGATGCTGTTTTTTCCATAGCTATAGTAAGTAACCAAGGGTTGTTACCTATCAAGTCTGGGAATACCCTATTTTCAGACAAACCCAGATGTTGTCAGCGTGTAGCTCAATCACGGTTGTGTGATTTGCAGGTGAATACAACAGCAAAATATCATCATTGTGGAGGTGTTTTTTGTGATTGTTGTGGTTGTTGTTGCTGTTGTTGTGGTTGTGGTTGTCGTCGTTGTCTTCGTTGTCGTCGTTGTCGTCGTTGCCGTCTTTGTCGTCCTTGTCGTCCTTGTCGCCGTTGTCGTCGTCCTCGTCGTCCTCGTCGTTGCCGTTTTTGTCGTCTTTGTCGTCCTTGTCGTCGTTGTCGTCGTTGTCGTCGTCCTCGTCGTTGTCGTCGTCCTCGTCGTCCTCGCCACCGTCATTGTCATTGTCGTTGTTGTTGTTGTTGTTGTTGTTGTTGTTGTTGTTGTTGTTGTTGTTGTTGGTTGTTGGTTATTGGTTGTTTGTTGTTGGTTGTTTGTTGTTGGTTGTTTGTTGTTGGTTGTTTGTTGTTGGTTGTTTGTTGTTGGTTGTTTGTTGTTGGTTGTTGGTTGTTGGTTGTTGGTTGTTGGTTGTTTGTTGTTTGTTGTTTGTTGTTTGTTGTTGTTGTTGTTGTTGTTGTGGTGGTGGTGGTGGTGGCGGTGGTGGTGGTATTGTTGTTTTAGTTATTTTTAGTTGCAGTTCTAGTTGTTGTGTAGTTGTTTAATTAATTCGTTTTTGGTTCTTATTCTCGTTTGTTTTCTTTTTAATTATTCGTTTCATTTCGTTTCTTTTTGTTGTCTTTGCGGATTCCTTTCAAAAAAAGCTGATTTCTCTTCCCGTCCTCCTGTGATGGGCGGCCAGTAATGTAACTTCAGGCAAGCCGAATCATGGACTTTGATACAGAAACTGGTTGGAAATTTGAATCTGCATGCCACAGATTACCTCTGAGTAATGACCATCACTCCAAGGCCGGGGTTCCAATGCTGGGCAGTTCCCCTTTTCTCAATCCTACCGCATGGCATTTCTACTCAAGGGTGTGGAAGCTGAAGTGCCTTGCGAAATCTGCACTGAGATTTGTTCGAGCCTTCATAGAAGCATTGTTTTGATATGTATGTTGAAGTGATTGTACCTTTTGTTAAAGCGTATTTATACAATGTGCTGCAAAATTGGTTTTGAGAATCCTTGGTGCTTCACTGAGGGGCCGCAAGTTGTGGGACCATGCAGAGCTGCAAGTCCTGTGTGGTGAGATGGGCGCCCCAGATGGGAGTGGCACCCCTCCGGTGGAGACAACTACGGTTTGCATTTTGTTCCCAGCTTTATAACTGGTTGGTGGTTTGGAACATTTTTTATTTTTCCATATATTGGGAATGCCATAATCCCAACTGACTTTCATAATTTTCAAAGGGGTTGAAACCACCAACCAGATACCTTCTGTTTTTCGCAAACCCTAGATACTTAAAAATCTTGAAATCTCGACCTTCATAACCGTCTGTGAAGACATCTCTTTACCTGGTGGTCTAGTTCCGCATGAATTGCACCTAGATCTGGGAGTTAAGCTTCAAAAGTGTTTGGGCGAGCTCTGGATTAGAAGAATTGAGCGGATGATAGGTTCCACACGAAAATATCACATATCCAGTCATATCCATGATCCATCATTATCATTCATTATCCCATGTCAGTGGAAGCACTTTCTTTTGTGAATGAGTAGGCCTTCCCAGCCCTTTGTCGGGTGGCAGCTCGGAGGAAATACCAAGTTTCGACCCAGTTTTGCTAAGGTTCGTTCTCCTGAGTGCACCTGAAGGCACAGGAAAGAGTTGCTTCTTCAGAGCAATGGCTGGGATTTGGTGCTGCAGCCCAGGGGGTCATGCCTGAAGGCCGATGAGGTAACACATCGACATGTCATTCTTTTTCCCAAATCTACGGGAGGGAAAGTCGAAATACTGTGCGTCTTTGTATTATAGATTATATATGTTACGTATGTATGTGTATGTATATATATATATTGTGGAGTGCGTTGGCTTCTTTATTTGCCATTTCTGTAAAATCCAGAAACTATTTCTTGCACAGGTAGAAACCATTTGCGAAATTCTAGAAACTAGTTGCGAAATTCTGGAAACCATTTGCGAAATTCTAGAAACTATGTGCGAAATACTAGAAACTATTTGCTAAATTCCAGAAACTATTTGCTAAACACTAGAAACTATTTGCTGGGGCGGAAGTTTCCTCCGGTGAGAGGTGCTGACTTCTTCTGATTTCGCGTCATTCTCGAGCTTTAACACGCAATCAGTGAAGATATTTACTGCCCAGCCCTTCTTACTCTAGAGATCGGGCGTGCAAGGCGCGATCACAGCGCAAACACTTTATTTAAAAAAAAGCTTTTCCAGAAGAGTTTGCAATACTTTGGCAGCTGAAGGTCCAATATTCCCGAAGCTCGTGCGAAGGGTTTTTTCCCACAGAACTGCTGTCCGCCTCACTCTTCACGTCATCTACTTAAATACATCATCCACATCTTTTATGTCCTTTACATCACCTACATCTTCTATACCCTTTTCTACACAATCTTCTCTACATCTACATCTACTTCTACTTCTATTTGTCACATGTTCTGCTGCGCTTTCCTGTTTGTTTCCAGGAACCGCGCGAAGCCGCCTCAAGCCCGTCCATCAAAGACAAAGCGGAGGCACGACCGGGCATTCCATCCATGCTCTTACATGGGAAGTATATACTTTGCGCGCCTCACTGCGTCATCGGTCTCGTTCTATTCAGGAGCCTGCGCCGCCTCCGTTGAAAAGATTGCGGCCTTCCACGGCGCCGCACCTGAAGAGGCGCTTGTGTGAAGCCGCATCCTGGAAGGGCCAATGACAAATTGCATTGCGCTGATCTTAATCATAGCAAGATGTAAGAATGAAGCAACCCGTTCTTTCACCGACAGTTAGCTGCAGGAGCAGCAGCGGGACAAGCTGTATGTTGCCACGCACCGGGAGGTGATGACAAGGGAGCCAGATGCAATTCTACGTTTTAAAGCCTTGCCCAACAAAGCAGGACATATGTGAAGCAGATCGCTCAAGATTACGTGTATGTAATTCAACCCGGCTGCTCCTTGTGATTGAACCAGAACCTTTGGGCAAGACTTATCCATAGACACTACCCAAAGTTTTTGGTGATGCGCGCAAACCCTGCGACTAGCTCCCGTCCGCAGTGGTAGATGCAAATACTGATCTTGTTGCATGTGACGTTAAGTTATGATGCGTCAAGTGATGTTTTGGTATGTGATGTTGTGATGATGTATATGTGCTGTGTTCATGTTGTGCGTGTCTGGGTACATATATGTGCCACGCAAAAGCCACTGGCAGAGCGGCGGAGACCAAGGGACGCCAGAGGGACACCGGCGGACACCGGGGCGTACATCCGACCCCTTGGCAGTGCACATTGTCCCACGCCTGCCACGCAAAAGCCACCGTGTGTGAGCGAGTGATGTATGTGTAAGTGATGTGTGTGTGTGAGTGATGTGTGAGTGAGTGATGTGTGTGTGTGTGAGTGATCTGTGTGTGAGTGAGTGATGTGTGTGTGTGTGTGAGTGATGTGTGTGTGTGTGTGTAAGTGATGTGCGTGATGTTTGTGTAAAAGTGATGTGTGTGTAAGTGATGTGTGTGTGTGTGAGTGATGTGTGTGTGTGTGAATCATGTGTGTGTGAGTGATGTGTGTGTGTGTGTGTGAGTGATGTGAGGGGCGGAGGCGGAGGAGGAGAAGGAGGAAGGAGCGGATACAGAACTAAAAACAAAGACCCCACACGTCAATGTGGGGAATAACACTAATGAACAAGATAATAGGAAGGACGCGTGAGCAAGCATCAAAGAAGCAGAAGGAAAACGAATAGCGCCATCAATTCCTCCTTTCCGGTCCATTTGCCACATGACTACCAGCGGTCAATTTTCCGCATCGCATCTGCAATCATAGCAACCGAGCTTGAAGACTTAACCAACTGTAGACACTCAAGTTCGTTTGGACAGCACTGTGATGATTCCGACAAAAGATGAAAAAAGTTTGCTGCTGCATTGGGTGATGTGAAGATGTGTCAGCATTAGCGCCATCGTCTTCAGACGCGTTCAGAACAATAGCAACCAAATGTGATTTCTTGGCCCGTGCTGCAACAGGGTAATTGAAAACCCAACATCCCCAAGCGGCATCAATCAAATCTGTAGCTTTGCAGCTTAAGAGCAGCCATTGTCGTTGAGGCTCAGCGCCCCCCGGACGGCGCAAAAACATGTGGAACGCCGAGCTTGCGGCTGCGCTGCGCGCCTATGCTGCGGTCCTCATCTGGCACGCGTGCCGGCTGAAGCCCCGGAAGCGTCAGCGGGTCAAGGCACAATTAGGGGCTGGCGCGACGCGATTGTGGCACTGTATGCTCAAGGCGCGCAGGCACATGGATAGCCCGAGAAGAAGTATTTCAGCAAGGACGTATTCAAATGGTACCTGCGGGCACATTGCCCCGATATCTCCACCTGCATCGCCAGCCAGCTTATCCACACCTTCATGCTTTGGTCTCACAGCTGGCGGCGCGCCCGATTCTATGCGTACTGGCAGCAGCCGAAGTGTTGTTCACTCATTGAGGCATACCCTTTTTTGCAGATTCCGGCATCTGGAGTGAGCGCGGCCCGCGCGTGCAAAAGACGTGGAGCGAGTGCTTCAGTGTGCATCATAGTTTGAAGGAATTTCGACCAACACCACGATCAGTCCGGACTCATCCAGTCGACTTTTTATTCCCCACATTGACGTGTGGGGTTTTTGTTTTTAGTTCTGTATCCGCCCGTCTCCTCCTCCCAGGGTGACCATGATTTGGCTCAAATTTTACTGACCAATCGCGCACTGAAAGAAGAAAAAATTGGACGGGGCAAGTAATTTGGCCCTGGCTCAAGTCTTAACACGGCCAATGCGAAGAAAAATATAAGTTATCGAAGGAAGTTTAGAAGTCAAACTTCCGACAATATGGACAGATGAAAAGCAGAGTAGGGAAGAGGCAGAGACAAGAGAAAGATTAGAAGAGATAAGAGTAGAAGAGAAAGAGTAAGATGCGCGAAAAGGTAGGAAAGTCGCGATTCACTGTGTTTTTCCAATGATTTGTGGCTCCGGAGGGTCGAAAAGTAGGCTCGCTAAAGCGGCGGGTGCAGAGCCAGCTGGCCAGATGAGAGATGAAAAATTGCACGCCGTTGTGGCGCGAAGCACATTTCGAAGTCAAAATGTACAAAACACACCAGCTTCGGACCACTTTCGGCAGTTGAGATGTCGAAAAAGTGCACGCCGTTGTGGCGCGAAGCGCATTTTCAAGTCAAAATGTACAAAACACACCACGTTCGGACCACTTTTGGAAGTCGAGATGTCGAAAAAGTGCACGCCGTTGTGGCGCGAAGCACATTTCGAAGTCAAAATGTTAAAAACACCAGGGTTAGGACCACTTTTGGAGGTTCAGATGTCAAAAAAGTGCACGCTGTTGTGGCGCGAAGCACATTTCGAAGTCAAAATGTTAAAAACACCAGGGTTAGGACCATCAGATGTCGAAAAAGTGCACGCCGTTGTGGCGCGAAGCACATTTCGAAGTCAAAATGTTCAAAACACTAGGGGTTCGGACCACTTTCGGAGTTCAGATGTCGCTTCGCTTCACTACACTACACCACATTACACTACACTACACTCCACTACACTACACTCCAGTACACTACATTACACTACACTGCGCCCTGGCGTCCCTTGGGCTCCGCCTCTTTATATGCCAACCCTCCGACAGTGTATGCTAACCGTCCCGGAGTGTATGCTAACCCTCACCCGGAGCGCGCGCTAACCTTCCTGGAGCGAGTGCTATGTCTATATTTGTCAGTTTAAGTTATCTTTATTAGTACATTGTCTTGTTTGGTGATTTAAGGCAGAGTAAGGGTATCACGGAAACCATTTCAAACCGTTTCCTGCTACTTTCTAGGTGATCGTCCGAAAGCGTTTCAATCCGTTTCCTGCTACTTGCTACTTCGCCTTGGCAAAAATCTCAAACAGTTTCAAATAGGTTTAAGCATGGCTAATTAGCAAATAGTCCGAAACCGTTTCAAACCGTTTCATAGTACTTACTAGGTAGTAGTCCGAAACGGTTCCAAACCGTTTCAAACCAATCCCTAGAAGGCCTAACTTGCAGAATTTTTTGTTAATGTAAAAATTGTTGGATATTGTTCAAAAGTTTGTCAAAACTGGATTTATTTATGAAATAGGTTCTGTAAATGGGGTTTGTTTAAGAAAAGTTGCTGCAAATTGGGTTCATTTAAGAACTAGTTTCTGTAAATTGCCTTTATTTAAGAAATAGTTTCAAATAGTTCCCCAGCTTAGCGTTGGTTCAAGAAATATGTTCTATAAATTGGGTTTATTTAAGAAATAGTTTTTTGGCCTCCACAGACAAAGAGGCCAAGGCACTCCCCAATATAAATATAATATATATATATTTGAACATGTTCGAACCATTAGAAGTACAAAATGTTTGAGGACTGAAACTGCTTTGTGAAAAGAACTCGCATGGGAACTGTGCCTCGGGAAGTTCCGGGATTTTTTGAACGGTCGGTTTCCGTGACACTTCCGAGGCCCCATGCCGATGGCGAAGTCTTCCTTCCTGAGCACGTTCTCTTCGTGCCGCAAAAGTCACTGGGCGATTCTACGAACACATTTGATTCGTGTTCGTATGTGCTGTATGCCGTAAGTTTGGCCATGTGGGTTCCAAGTCTGTAAGTTTCAAGTTTTAGGAGAAACGGCGGCATAACTACCCCGATTTCAGAGTCTTCTGGTGAAGCCTATTGCTGCGAGAGATAACATGGAGTTCCAGGCTGTGCTCCCATCAGAACGCTTGAGTTTGTTGCAGCTGACCCCCGGATTCCAGGGCTGGAAAAAACATAAGTCTACGAAGAATGCAGTAGCTTGTGCCAGGTGTTGGCAGATCAAATGGCTGAAGCTGATTGAGTTTCGATGTGTTTCGATGTTTTGATATATTTGGATCATGTCTTGCCATGTCCCACCAAAGCTCTGAAATGTAAGTTTCCCAAAATGGGGGGTTACCCCAAATGGGTGGTTTATAATGGAAAATTCTATTAAAATTGATGATTTAGGGGTACCCCCGTTTTGGGAATCCTCCAAATGTGTCGAAAATTGTGATTTCCTTCAATGACTGTGCCCACGTTGTGTCCGTCTATTGAGGTCGTACATTCCCCAGGGGACGCTGAAGCAAGCAGTGACCTATCCTTTGGGCCCGGAAGCAGAGATTTTTCGGAAGGACCCTTTGAGTCAACATGCGATAAACAGAGTTAAATAGATCTGGATAATAGGGTTTAATGATGTTTTTCATGGGATATTGATGGGATACTAATGGGATATTACTGGGATATTAATCCATCTGTTTCGGGTTTTACCATGAAAAGCCATGGTATGTGGGATGCATCTTTGGGATGCATCGATATGGGGATTTCATAACGGACGGCCTCGGGTTATCAAACCTGGCAAACAAGAACATCCATTATGATATTTCTCAATGAGATGGTTGGGAAATGTTGGACTAAAACAATAGGAACTTATTATCTGGGTTAATGGTCCAAAAAGTATATCTTAATATGGACTTAATATGGACTTTTTGTAGATCTATATATCTGGTTGGTGGATTGGAACCATGGAATGGAATATGACTTTCCATTCAGAAAAGGGAATGTCATAATCCCAACTGTTACTCACTCCATCATTTTCAAAGGGGTAGGTATACCACCAACCAGAATATATCTGGGTAAATTATAACGACCGAACCCTGTTCTCCAGCCTGGAAGAATGGTGAATGGATTCGGGGATTTTTTCTGGTGGAGCCGATGTTTTCAGGTTAGTGAATTGATCTAATTTATCATAAAACTGGATGATGGGAAAATCTACAGGAAACCCCTATATTTGATGGTAAAAACCCATGGGTTTCCTGTAGATCTTCCCTTAAGCCAATCCATTGAATTTACCCAGATATATATCTCGGAAGTCATCCCCAAATAGCCGAAGTTTTGGAGCCGATTTTCGGGCGAGTGAATAAAAAATAATTTAGCCAATGCAGCCTGGTTTCAAGATGTTTCAGGACAGCTTTGGTACTAAATGAAGTTGTTTATAACGGCGTATCCTAGGTACATGTCGGGCACATTCCTGCACAATCCTTTTGATGTGCCTTACTTGGGCGATTTTCAAATGTGAATCTTGGAAGGTTGGATTTGTGTTCTGCAATCAAACAAAAGAAGCTGAAAGGCACAGTTAGAAAAATAAACCTTCAAGACCTCAGAGCATGGTAAATTCTGAAGTTTGCCACTTGATGATTGTTCAACAAATGTTCAAGAACCTCGAGTCAATAGAACCCCAAATCCCTTGAGACCATTTTGGCTGCCAAGGCTCTAGCGATTTCTCAGATGATGAGGTGAATGGCGCCCTGAAGGCAAGGCGAAATAGCAAGCAGGTATACATCAGCTACCATCCATCATTTGCTAGGTTTGTGTACGATCGTGTTTTGCATCGTTACAGGGAGGAGCGCAACTGATTGACTTTTGACAGTCCTTGACATGTGTTTGGTCATTCGTTGCTGCTCAGGAAGGGTGAAAACTGGAAATCAAATTGCAATGGACTTCTCACAGGTATGAGCGCACACAGGTGGTGTAGGGACAAAGTTGAAGACTTGGATTGGCTATGATGAACCGTCAGCTTCATACATGTTTATATGTATATATGTATATATTAACGTACACGTGTATCTAAAAGATGTTTGTGTATATTATATATTATATGCATACATGCAATAATGTATGTATATATATATGTGTGTGTTTACATTTACATATATATATACATATAATACATACATATAGTGCGTATATATATATGTGTGTATGTATACCTATAGATATATATATATATATACATAGACGTAAATGTATTTGCAGGTACAGATGTGTCTTTGTACCTGCACATTTTTGCTTGCATCGATCTCAACATATGTATGTATGCGTATATAATGTTTATATATATATATACATATGTGTTCAATTGTTGATTTACGTATGTGTCCATGTGTGTTTGTGTATGTAAACTTATGTGAATGTCAATTAAAGTAAAGTAAACGTAATGCAATGCAATGTCGTGTCATGTTACTCTATGATCTGGTTTGTTTTGTTATGTGTGTATGTGTATGTGTATGTGTGTATGTGCATGTGTATGTGTGTATGCGTATGTAATGTAATGTACTGTAATGTACTGTACTGTACTGTAACGTAATGTAATGTAATGTAATGAATGTATATGTATTTTTATACATTGAGGGCCCGTCAGCAAGAATGCATTTTTCATATGCGGATGCGGCCCCAAAAGCGGGCCCTGGTGGCAGTGCCGTTTGAGCACAAGCCGACTGACAGCCAAACGCATTCTCCACTACCGAACTGTGAGGAAACCAATTGCAACGGATTATGATTGGGAAGGCATGTGGCTCGAAAACAGGCAAGGGGCGTAGAACCCCATGTGGACAAACTCCAAGGAGACCACGCTACCCGAAACTATTGCTCCTCAAACCTCGTACGTCCCGATTACGCCCCCCAAACCCCTCCAACCCGCATGTAAATAAGGGATTACGTCCCTCCCATCTGTTGTTACGCCCCTCGTACATCCCGATTACGCCCCTCAAACCCGCATGTAAATAGGAGATTACGTCCCTTTTAGCGCTTGGGCCGTATACTGTAGTATAATCCAAAGCGCGCGGACGGGATGCACGGCAACAAGTGCACGCCACACACTTCTCCCAAGATGCACGCAAAACAGCTTCCTGACATAAGTGTTGTAAAGCGGCACGCTGCCAGAGCGAAAGAGGTTAGCATGGCTTCTTGCACCCCCCCGGAAAGTGGACCCTTTTCACTGATTCAAAACAGCTCCTATGCCATGTACCCTCATAGTATTTATATATATATATATATGTATACAGGTGTCTATATATATATTATATATATATATAATACATCAACAAAAATGTACCTGGATCTTCAAGCAGGCTGCTTTTCAGCCTGTTTCCATTCAATCAAACAGTGTTGACCGTTTTTTCTTGGGCTGCCCGAGATATGTTTTTCTGCCCAAAGTTGACTGCATTCTTGACAAAGTTATCATGATACCACCAAAATAGTTTTGAAAGTTCGGGTTTTTTGCCTGAATTTTCTGAATAGCGGGTGCTCTTTGTTTCAATTTTTGGGCGGCGCCATGAAAACTGCAATTCTGAAAAAAATGTCAGTCAAAAAGGACGCCGCGTTTCCCTATCCAGGCTGTGGATCTAAGTTGTCTTGAAGGTGCGCTATGTCAAGATCATTTGGATTAAACCCAAACTGGGGATGGTTATTTTTCACGAAAAAAATTGAAAAGCGGGAATTCACATATTTGGTCAATTTTGGTCAGTTCTACAGTAACGGACGAAGGATTCCCAATTTCATGCTGGGATGATCACCAGGGGCGAAAAAAACACTTCCAATTTTTTCTCGAAGACATTTGACGGGCACCCCAAATAGAATTATATTGAACATCAAACAGGGTACTTATATGAAGAGGGCTGCTCTGATTGATTTTTTTGTTGATTTCTGGTATCCCAATTTTTGAATGTTTCGATACCAGAGTGGTTTTACATGTATCTAGTTTGTTTCTTGAACTGAGGCGAAAAAAACATGTTCAAAAAACCCAAACAGAAATTATCTGCAGGAACCGGGTTTGGTGGCCGAGAAAAAGAATTCAAAGATTCTGCAACCAGTAAGTGGGGTTGGTTCACGCTCTGCGCTGAACATCATCAGTTTTCTGGAGATCTCCAATCCTTTTTTTTGTACGTCCTGCCTCGCAAGGCCGCGCTTTGAAAGATGAAGCTAATTGGGCCATCCCAGCAGTGTTATCAAAGGGGGGTCATGAAATGGGAGTTTGTTTGCCATTGCCATTGTTGTGGGGTTGGAACTGGTCATGTTGATGGTCATTTTTTGTTGAGGTATGAGAAGATTGTTGAGGATTTTTGGGTGTTTAGAAACACTGTAGTTCTCGAAAGACTCTAACTCTCACGGGTTGACCAAAGAAGCCCCATGGAATTTGGGTCCAAATATGTGATTTCATCCCCGACATCCATGGTGACTTAAGACGTGTGGGGCCTAGAGGAGGGGATTACACATGCAAAAGAACACAATTGTATTATATCATGATTATCTAATATTATCTATAATTATATGTATATATTATCATGGTATTAAATGTATGTGTATATATATATACACATCATTGTGTAGATCATTATAAAATCCCATGATGGAATTACCCAATGAATCATCCTTTAAATTATTGAATATCCCATTATTCTCTATATCCTAATTAGGATTATTGGGAATAATCTATATCATCATAAGATGAGAAATATCTATGGGACAATCTGATTAGAAACTTGCCTATGTTTCTCACATTCTCCCCCCTGGAATTTCCGCGTTGGCCAGGCTTTGTTACTGTCTGGTGGTGAGCAGCAACGTTTAGCCATGGCAAGGGTCCTGCTGAGACGCTCGGTGAAATCAATGCCCTATAGTGGGTTTTTTTCAAGGATGGGTTGATGGAAAATCCATAGAAAATCGTATCAAAAATGCTTGGTTTACAATGGAGGATCCCCAATAGCTGGTTGGTTTATCATGGAAAAAGCCATGAAAAATCATGGATGATGTGGGGGGGTTCATGGGGTTTCCAGAAATGGGGAATATCCCAATAGCTGGATGGTTTATAATGGAAAAATCCGATTAAAATGGATGATTTAGCGGTACCCCCATTTTAGGAAACCTCTAAATGCTCATATTATTAACTTGGCTGATTCTGGTTTAGTTCATATTAAGCTGATTAAATTTAGCGATTTGTTCATATTTAACTTGGCTGATTCTGGCGTCACCCATGTTAGCAACACCCCAGATTAGACTTGTAAGGCTTTCTTGTCCGCAAGAATTGCTCGCGCTTTTATAAGTTTCTGGCTGCACAAGTCAATGGCAGTATATATTATATGAATAGTTGAGATTCTTGTTACATTTCTCCGTGGACACTTCATGTAGTTCGTGACATTTCGTGACATAGTCAACCCTTTTCTTGTATCTCCGCTTGATGTCCTACACGTTTCTTTCGGACGTGTATCACCAGTTTCTGCCAACAAATTCTTGACGCCTTCGCGCAAGACGCAAAGGTCTGACCGCGAACATTTGAAGTCTGAGAACGCAATAGTCCTATGTCATGTTTGCCCCAAGAAAATCTAAGAAACAGGTGAGAATCGATGGCAAACAGGCAATAATTTACCGATGAGCGAGAAAACCGGAGGACACATTTCTGCCAAGTTCTGAAATTTCGAGAACAATCTTTTCAGGCGAGAATTTCTCTCGGCGGTACTGATTTGCAAAGCAGGCCAAAACCCTGAGGATGATCCAGATGTGAAGACAGCTTCGTCAAATGAACCGAAATGGAAAATGGAAAAAGTCGTGCAAAAACCTGCAGTAAACGTGAAATTAAATGCAAAATGTGACAAGGGCGTGCAATTTCAAAGTGCGACGCCAACAGTTTGATTTCGAGATTTGTCGTTGTTCCCCTTGCAGAAAATGTGTTTCTTCGCAGAAAATGCGGATAAGGATTTATGAACAATGTTCAGCGGAATTAAATGTGAAAAAGAGCGTGCGAGAGTCCATAGTCTTGAAAAACAAGACATATATGAACATGTATTGACATTCTGACAGTCAGAATTTCTCATATGTTTCAGCCACAAAAATTGATCGTCCAGGATTTTTTTGTTGCTTAGCTGGCGAGTCTGCTCCATGTCATTTCGCTGGCGGAATCTCATCTTAGAAGGGCATACCTATACCTAACCTGGAGTAATGTGTGTAAAACAATCATAAACCACCTATTTGGGAATGAATTATACCACCTATAGAAATGGTGATTTGGGGGATGGTTTATTATTGTTTTACCCACATTAGTGTCTTCGGTTCAACAGAGTTGAGAAGTGCAGGAAGGATGTGGACGGCCACCGTTTTCGTCTCCGTTCTTTGCGTATCTGCCTGGCAAACATGCGGGACATCCTATAAAAATTGGCATTGCAGTCCTAAGTCCATGAGGCTTTTGAGGAATCCGTTCAAACATTAGAGGAAGGACATTGAGGCTGCACAGAATGTGAACCGCAAAGAGATCACTGGGCTGTTTGGGTTTCTTTGCTGGTCGCACATTTTCCCATGCTTTGTTTACCTACATTTTGAGTCACATGTACACACATTCAATCACATCATATAGTGTATAAGCATCTATTTCATGAAGAAACCGGTTAGACGTAAATTGGACTGCAGGAAACAAAAAAAAACAGGTGGTATTTGTCCAATTCAATCATAAACATGAATAAGAAACAAAAAAAACTGGTGGTCTTTTTCCAATCATGAACCTGAAAAAAACATCATTAAAACCTCCAAAAACTCAGTTTGTCGCCAAGGACAACCACAGGTTCTTCTTTTGGATGAAGCCACCAGTGTGGCTGAGCTCAGCTCTCATGGGAGTGAAGATGAGTGAAGCAAGGAGGCTAAATTGATGTAAATGTTAGGTGGTTTTTGAATGGTTTTGATGTAATTCATGTTTGATTCATGTTTGATTCATGTGACCTTCTTACCTTCTCATCTATCTAGTTCTTTGGATCTTCTTTTTGGCCCGGGTCTGTTGAGAGCCCTTGCCTACTGTGTCACCGTCCTATGGGACCTTATACTGGTTTTAAACCTTATACTGGTTGGTGGTTATTAATGGTTATTAATGGTTAATGATTGTTTTTAATGGTTAATGATGGTTAATGATGATTAATGATAGGTAACTAAATATTCAGTATATACTGGTTAATCAAACCTGGCAATTGAACATCCATTATGATATGTATATGTATATATATATACACATCTGGTTGGTGGTTTGGAACATGAATGTTATGTTTCCATAGATTGGGAATGTCATCATCCCAACTGACGAACTCATATTTTTCGGAGGGGTAGGTATACCACCAACCAGTATAGCAATAGTGAAGGTCGGTGTTGCAAGTCAAGGATGAGCTACCCGGAGTATCCATGAGTCCCAGAGTCTTTTCCTTCGTTTTTTTGTTGAACAACTCGAACAGATTCTACCATGACATATTGGATGGCAAAAAGCTGTTGACCAGGACAATCAGGAGAATGACTCATGAACGGTGCTTGATCCCTTCCCCCCAATATTGAACACCCCCAATAAACATAAACCTTGGTTTAGCAGGATATTTACATGATTTTACATATATTACCACAGAATGGAGCTTAGAATCTGGCTGTTTAATATGAACCGCGCATGGATCAGTTTGGTGCTTCTCAGCACTCTGAGGCGATGTCAGCTGAGGCTGCCTTGGACATGTTTGCTCTATTGCGCAGGCGATCTTATGCCCACCAGGGGTGTTGAACCAAGGTAAGATGCCCGAAATCATCCAAAGGTTAATCGCTTCCCTAAAAATGATGTTGAAACCCATGGCTTTAGGATGGAAAATAAAAATATACGGAAAATCGCTATGTCCTGAAGTCCTGGCAATCTCGGGGTGACATCATGAACTTGAGGAGGTTGGCCAGTGTCTCAAGAATGAAGGATACACTATCGCTGACAACAACATGAAATCATGCTAGATCATGCTAGATCAGGCTAGTTGGTATTTTGCAAAAGACCCAAGTGAACTGAGTGTGACGTATGATTTTTCTGTGGCATATTGAGAATTCTGTAGTGCCACTCTCTTCTATGCGTGCGCTACGACCGAATGGTTGCCATTGTCCTGGTCATGTTGCATTTTTCCCATTTCCAAGAATCAGAGATGTTCCCATTGTTTTCCCATGGTTTCTTAGATGTTTTGGTGGTTGTTTTTGTGATAAATGTCATGTCATTTTCCACCATGTAAGGCCTGGGAGCCTGCCCAAGGGTGCAGCTGTCATTACGGTGAGTCGGGCGTCACGGTGTCGGGATCACTTTTGGGTCTTAAGGGTACCAAGATAATTACCATGCTTGATTCGTTGGGGATTAGATGAAATGATACTAGCTGGTTGAAAATTAGGATGAACTAAGCCATAATATACTGGTTGGTGGTTTGGAACATTTTATATTTTTCCATATATTGGGAATGTCATCACCCCAACTGACTCATATTTTTCAGAGGGGTAGGTATACCACCAACCAGTTATCCATTTTATAAATGTGTCAGTTATTAATCATCCCAACTGACTTACCACCAACCAGTTTTACATCCATTTACCAGTGTTTTTGGCTTTGAAATGGATCATCTCCGAGATCACATCGGACCTCATCGGTTCCAAAACGTGGCGGGCCTCCTCGTCACGATTCCTGTAATACGCACGTGAACGAAAAGAAAACTAAAACTGAAAAAGTGAGCAAAAACTAAAAACCATGCAAAAATAAAGTAACTAAAGTTTAAATATGTATATATATATATATGTATATGTAATATAGTTTTCATTGTATTTGGGCGTCCTCTCGTTTTGTTTGGGGCCCATGTTGGTGATTGGTGTTCCAAAGGCCAAAAGGTGCCACCTTTTGCTCCACCTAGCATTTCCAAGATATCCCAACGCCCCTCGGTTAAATACAATGCCATGATTCTACTTCATTTTCCCAAAGAAGAACCTACATGTGTAGGACCCAGACATTGTGAAATCATACCCAAATACAACGAAATCTACTTATATATATATACATACATATTTATATAATAAATATATATATACATATTTATATATTGATATACATGTACGCCCCAACCCGGACGTTGCTCCACACTTACAATCGTCATGATCATCACCATCATCATGATCATCATCATCACCATCATCATCATCACCATCATCATAATCATCATCTTTATCTTCATGAGGGGTCAAAATTCGCCACCCCTATGAGCAATATGTTGATTCGGGTAATAGCATCAACTATATCTCCATGAGGGATCAAAATTCGCCACCCGCTATGAGCAATATTTTGGTTGGGGTAAGAACGTCAACTTTATCTTCATAAGGGATCAAAATTTGCCACCCCCTATGAACAATATGTTGGTTGGCGTAATAACATCAACTTTATCTTCATAAGGGATCAAAATTCGCCACCGTCTATGTTAGATTTGGCAAAGCGTGAAGGTACTAGAATGTGTGCCGCAATCAGCAATTGTATATCACATACATATGATGTTGGCAGGGCATGCGTTCCGTTCTGATGGTACTCTGACACCTGTGGGCATTGCCTTCTTCCTTGACGCTGTGCGCCCACTGCTCGAGGCTGTTGTACCTTTTCACAAGCGGTCATGTATGTGTTGCTGGGTATGCTTCAGGAAGAAGGGGTAGACCTACTGATCGGCGATTCTTCCTTATGCGCGGTGATGCCTGAGGTATTTTTCCCATGCTGTAAAGGATGAGACGTTCGCTGCTATGAGATGACTATGCGTTTTCCTTGACAGGAGGAGTTGGACCGCGATTACACTGGGGCCATTGCGGCAGACCTGCTGCTAGCTCCAGTGGCACCTGCTTGGGGAAAAGGTTTTGCAGGGGATGGCTTCAATTGGCTACTGTGGGGCCAGCGGGGTCTATTGGATTGGAAAACTCCGCCAACCATCGCAATACTTTGCGCGGGTAGTGTGACCTTTGAATGTGCATAGATCGAACCGCCGTTGGCCCACTGCTTTTTCTGATCAGGCAATGATCTCTATGGTCGGCAGTGCCCTGAAAAAATCACTGCTGCTGTGATCAAAATGAGAGAGGCGCTGCTACAGCAGTGTAAATATCAACTGTATATGCACATGCGCGTGTGGTTTCCTTTTGCTTCCATGTTGTGATCTTGTTTGCCAACTCGAACAGGATTGTAAGGGCTCTTGGTCTGCTCGACTGCTCTATGTGGATGTAGTCCCGGATAGTGATAGGCGCACCATCCT